ATTCATGGTGACGCTTTCCGCAGTCACCAACGGAGCAGCGATTCCGACTCTTGCAGTCGGTTACTCGGTGGCTGCGGCCGAAACAGAGAAAACACAGCTTCTTCTCCGCTACCCATTCCCTACGCTTCTGCAGTGGCAGTGCTTTAAAACTGTCACAGCTGCGCAGCGGATGTTGGCTGCTGCAGTAATGGCAGGCGAAGGGTGCACGCTCTTGCTGTCTGGAGCTGCCGCTGTTGCTCAATGTGGTGAGGGTGGTCTCACTTCGAGTTCTCTTGTTACTGCTGCTGCCGCCGCTGCTGCTGACACTCCCTGTCTTCAGCACAGTCACTCTGCTTGCTGCACTGGCCTTGCCGCACAGCCACACTGAAAAATCATCCAGCGACAGCTTCTCCGGATCGAAATTGGCGATCATCTCGCCCCAGTTCAGGCGCATGCCAGCCGGCAGTTTGGCAACAAGTTCCTGTCGCAGCTGAGGGTTGCGCAGGTGCCCAGTACTATTCATTAGCTTCATGGTCTGCACCAGCCCACGCACAGCAGTTGAGAACTCTACGAGCTGCTCAAAGTCGTCGGCTCGCAAAGTGCGGAAACTCTGAGCACGGGTGATGAGGTGGTGCACCACGTGCTCGGGACGGCCAAAACGCTCTTGCAGCGTGGCGAGAATCTCCGGAACATTGTCTGGGACAGCCAGCATAAACTGGACTGCATCTCTGGCCTTGCCCTTCAGCGCACGGTGCAGTCGGCTGAGGTTCTCTGCATGCGAAAACCCACAGTCCCGGGTTGTGGTGTCGAACATCTTCTTGAAGATGGGCCACTCTTCAGGCTGCCCAGCAAACTGTGGCAGATCCTTCCCAGCAGCTTGCCTGGCCATATAACCCTTCATATGGCGCTGTGCTGGGGTGTCTGAGGGCTTCTGCGTGCCTACTGCTGCCAGGATAGCTCCAGCGAGCTGCGCGATGTCAGACTGCGGCTGCTGCGTAGCATCTGACTGCGGCGCCTGCTGCTGACGTACTGCCGGACTGCGTACTGTGGCTGTTGACGTTGCTGGTGGCTGCGTAACATCTGACTGCGGCGCAACACCAGACTGCGACGACTGCTGCTGACATACTGCCGGACTGCGTACTGTGGCTGTTGACGTTGCTGGTGGCTGGTTAGCTGTAGCTGCGTGGCCACCGCCAGCAGACACTGCCACAGCTGCCTGGCGAGTTCCACCACGTACAGACTGTTGGGCTGGCTGGCCTCTTACACTGCTACTACTACTAATGCTAGCACGCGTTGAGCGCCTTGACCCCGAGTACGCACTACTACTAGTACTGGAACTGTCACGCTGGCTGTCGATGGCTTCATGCTGCATCGCCAGCTCAATTTGCAGCAGTCTCCTCTGCGACTCTATCTGTTGCTGCTCCAATTCAGCCAACCTCTTTGCAGCCTCGTACTCAGCTCGTAGGTGCGCACTCCGCGCACCGCGACTACGCGCACTGCGACTACTAGTAACGCTAATGCTGTCCACACCAATGGACTTCAGACTGAGCACATCATGTACACTGGCACTGGGTGATGGTGGCAACGACAAATTCACCGCAGCGTCAAAAGCAAGCTGAGTGTCAGTCTGTGTCGACTCCAGCCACTCACCGAGCCGATCTGGCGCTCTCCCTCTGGTGGTTCTGGTGCTCTTGCGCGACATCTCAACAGCAACGATCGAAATGCACACTCAAATTTCAAAAATATACACTATACGATCATAACACAACGAGCTACGGGATACAGAAAGCTTTACTTCAGGGCTGTTCGATTGGCTCCGGATGCGCCTCCGCACATCCGGCTCGAAGGACCAAATGTTCAGGGCAATACGGACAACCCAAGTCACGACCACACATCGAAAACTACTGCTCGCTTGAAGACTGTATAAAGTGTATTCACAAACAACAACAAATCTGAAAACTCTGAAAAAGAAACTAAACAAAAAAGCCACGAGGTCCGCTCAGTGCCTCGCGCACCAAGACCATCTACGAAAATGGAGGCATCGCAGTTCGCCTTCAAGGAAACAGCAACTATTGCAGCGAAGCGGTGAAAACTGCAAGAAAGCGAAAGCCATAGAATCACGGACACAACAGAAAAAGCCTGTACCAAAGAAAGCGCATCGCTAGCCGCACAGTACACACACAGCGCACAGTTCACTGTACATTTGGCAAAAAACATAAAAGAAAATCAAGACTGTTCAAAGCGCAAAAAACACATGTTCACGTCATGTTCAAGGAAATTCAAACGAAGAGAAAAGAGAGTAGAGAAGTTTAGAGAAGTACAAGAACGAAGAAATGGAGAAGAGAAACGTTCTTATGATGAAGAGTAGAGAGAAGAGCAGAGAGACAGACTGGAAAGCAGTTCTACAGAAGACGTGAGAGAGAAAAGGTGAGAGAATAGACAGAACGAAAATAGCAAAGACAAAGTACACAACAAATTCAAACAATGTCGATCTTGCTCACAAGTTCAACCATCAGGCAGGAACAGACATGTTGTTATAACGAGTCGCAAATTTAACGATTGTCCGAAATTCAAAGGTTAACGAGAAGATACATGTATATTATAACGATCTTGCAGTATTCCGCCATATCCACACACGACATATATGAAGCCATACGGCCTAAACGGATCTTATTACAGTCGACCTACCCTTATAACGATATTTGCGTCACACCAAGAAATATTGTTATAAGGGTAATATTGTTATAGGGGTAACTGGTTCATTTCATACACATACGTCATAATGCATGGATTTTGTTCATTTTTTACACTCTTCATAGCATAAAAACGGACATACATGCACATTATGCACACAGCAAGGTGCCCCCATTGCATTTCGTCATGTCCCAGCGACTTATCAAGCGAAGCTTGCCCTACCTGGATAGTGGACACTACATATTCCCTGCTAGATATTGCTATAAAATGGAAAATGTCGATTGGTCAGCCCATTTTATATCGTTATAGCAATATTGTTATAGAGGTAAGGCATTGTATACACAAGTCAATGGAGTGATTTGGTTTGGCAGAAAAATATCGTTATAAGGGTAATATCGTTATAGAGGTTATCGTTATAAGGGTAGGTCGACTGTATAACGAAGAAATGTCATCCGTTAAAACGTTAGATTTACTTCCTCGTTAGGGAGCATCTCATAAGTTCGCATTTTTTTCTAAACGTAACGCATTTCGAAACGGGGTAGGGGGGTAGCGCCCTTTTCGAATAGAAAAATGACAGTTCGCACATTTTCTGGTTGTGTACAATACTGTGCTGTGCACATACGTGACATGGTGCATGTGCTAGACCGCTTCAGCAGGGTATGTTCATGGTTCATGGTGTTTAGGTGTAGATCTACCTGTAGTATGTTGGCAGATCAGCTAACCCTGCACTGCATGCAATCAATCATGCAGGCTGATCAGCTAACCCTGCACTGCATGCAATCAATCATGCAGGCTGATCAGCTAACCCTGCACTGCATGCAATCAATCATGCAGGCTAATCAGAGGTGTCAAACTTGTCACACCAGCATTATCAAACCGTGTACCTGGCCAGCTTTCACAGTACAGTCTTTGTGGAGAAACTCTGTTTATGTGCGTGTACATGTCATTGATTGTACTGTACTTGTACTCAGTACATGCGGTACTACTGTATGCCATTCACTTCCACACTAGCAAAACATTCATGTACATGTACATGTGCATACTATGGCATGCATGGACATGTACAGTAGTAGATCTACATGAACACGGAAAATGTGCGATAAGACTTTCAAATAGTGGGGGGAGGTAGGGGGGGGGGGGGGGGGTAAAGTCTATTCGAAATGCGTTACGTTTACAAAAAAAGTGCGAACTTGTGAGATGCTCCCTTATATACACATGCCTTATAAGAGTCGGTATTTGCCGTTAGACTTTGACTTCCGACGACTTCTGATGTCCTCGCTTTCAATCCCTATTCTCTGGGAGTGTAGTAATTGCCGTTCGAGTGCTGACGGGACTATTATTTTTCTTCCACTTTCACCTGGCTTTTTTAAAGTGTTGAATTTCAGAGAAAATGAAAATGGAGCAGGTGGCCAAAATTTCCTTTGCATTTGAAAATTTTCCGTGAAGTCCGAAATATGAACATGTATAAAACTTCACTCCTCGACTCCAATGACCGTCTCTATACTGCAACTCAAATCAATTAGAGGATATGCCAAATAACGTGCAACTAGACTTGAGAGGGCATTGCACAGAAGTTGCATACACATTATACTACAAGGTGTACATGGTAGGCCCTGAGCTCTGCAGGAATGCAAGTCACAGGTAGCCGTACAACTTTTGAACTTTGTATGCAACTACTCTGCAATGCCCTCCCAAGTCTAGTTGCACGTTATTTGACATATCAGAGAGGTTCTGCTACACGGACCTACGTACCAAACTCCGTGTCAACTGCAGCGAAGTTTGACACGGATTTTTCGTACGTTGCACCGGTTCTGCTGTACGTAGCATGCTCGTAGCATGCACGAACACCCCGCCACATGTACTCTGTACGCTCAGTTTTCACACGGAGTCCAGTCCGTGTGAAGCGCGCTTCACACGGAAAACGGTATGAAAAAATCCGTATGAAACTTGATCCCGTACCGCGGCGAAGTTTCCATACGTAATTTGGCACGTTTTACCGTGTGGCAGAACCTCACTATCATCTATTAGAGGATGTCTTTGATGATACAGTATGGGACATGTACGGGATAGTGGGCATGGCCGACGACAGAAACACACACACATATACACACACACACACACACACACACACACACACATACACACACTTTCTGACCTTTTGGCGCCCATCGCCGGAGGCGATGTGTGAACTGGTGTTCTACCTCTGCCGATCATGACCGGAGAGCGGCTAAGCAGGCCTCCGCAATCTTTTTTCTTTTCAATTATTATTTTTGGCATTAAATAAGGCCCGTTGTCCTTTCCTGTTCTCCGCTCTGGTGCTGTGGTAGCAAAATGCGGAAAAGCGGCTGTTGAGCTGGTGGATCCCGCACACAAGAACCAGTACACGACTGTCCTGAGATCGTTTCACGAGATGAAGAAAGGATACATCAGAGGCACGGGCAAAGGAGAGAACAACCTCTTCTGCATCCTGGTGTATCTCATGCAACGTCCGGCCACGACCGTCCAACAGCTGTTTAACCTGCTGGCTGCTAGTGCCAAGCATAACCGCTGCCGTCTCTTCAGCACAATCAAGTGAGTTGCATGCGGAGTGTGTGCAGTGTGTTGTGCGTGTACCTGCTATTGATGCAGTGCTAGTAGGGAGTTCAGTTCCGGTCGCTGAAAATCGAAAAATGCAGTCACAGCTCGCCGCGTACAAAGTGAATGGGCGCGTCGTGGCAGCAGTTCGGGATGCACTTCGAGGTACAAGTATCTTCTCCCGCGGCCTTTTCGGCCTTGTCGATGCTATTTTTAGGTAGCTGAGGTCATTACCTTTCCAATAGTGCCACACATGCCATGCTTCCGAAAATGATGCCTCCGCGCATCGCGCCGATGCACTTCGAAGTACTAATTTCGACCAGGTGCGTACTCGGCCCCGCGAGGAACACCCGATTTTCGTGTTCAGCGGCCTCGGATTTGTCTAAAACAAGTGTATTCTAGAACAGTTAGGCTCGCGCTTTATCGCGGTAGCAGGGAAATAATCCCAGAAACCAGCCCACGGCGATATCCTGGGTGTGGACGAATAAAATCGAGTGAACTGCTCGCACACCGTAGTAGTGGTGACGGTGAACACGTGTGACTTGTGCACGTAGGCGCGCACGGCATGCATGCACACTGTGTGCATGCACACATCCTGTATCGCCATGCACTTCTGCATGTACTCACCGGGTAGTGCAGTGCTGGACGGAAACCACACGACCCACATACATGCTTGCATTTACTTCTGCGACTGTTTTCACCCCAATTTTCGTGTCTTCTATCGACTATGGGTTCAATTTTTCACAGGTTGCTTCTCACCTCTTCCCGGTTAAAAAATAGCGTTTTATATGCGAAACTCGCAAATTTGATTTTTCGATTAAATTCCCTTCTGCTAGTGATCCTTATCTGTGCATTCTAGATCCGTCTACCATGCGCCAACTGCCTGTGTGTGTGCACGCATGTGTGTGTGTGTGTGTGTGTGTGTGCACGCATGTGTGTGTGCGTGTGTGTGTGTGTGTGTGTGTGTGTGTGTGTGTGTGTGTGTGTGTGTGTGTGCATGTGTGTGTGTGTGTGTGTGCGTGTGTGTGTGTGCATGCATGTGTGTGTGTGTGTGTGTGTGTGTGTGCGTGCGCGTGCACATGTGTGTGTGTGCGTGTGTGTGTGTGTGTGTGTGTGTGTGTGTGTGTGTGTGTGTGTGTGTGTGTGTGTGTGTGTGTGCGTGCGCGTGCACATGTGTGTGCGGGGGGGGTGGGGGGGGGGGGGGGTAGCTTCATGAAATGCAGTAGAAGGCATCGCCAAGTAGTGGCCATCACCGAGCGACCCTCGCTCTCTCATGAACTACATTGTACATTGTACTGAAGAAACATGCAATTCACACTTTAATGTGACCACTGGTGTACGTTTCAATGTGACCACTGGTGTACGTTTCAATGTGGTCACTGCCATGAAAGACCACCTGTGTTTAGAGACCCTGAATCAGTTCAGGTATCAGATTATGTTACCATGGTTTCAGCACACCTGTGCATACAGACCACCTGTGTATGAAGACCTCCTGTGTGTTTAGACTACTTGTGTATGAGGACCACCTGTGTGCTAAGACCAACTGTGTGCTAAGACCACCTGTTTTTAAAGGTCCCCTGTTGAATAAAGATCATCCGTGTGCTAAGGCCACCTGTGTATAGAGACCACCTGTGTGGTGCGACCGCTTGGGTATAGAGATCACCTGCGTATTAAGTACACCTGTGTGGTGCGACCACGTGTGTATAAAGATCCAAGTGGTAAGAATCACCTGTAATATAATGACCCATACACAAGTGGTCTTTACACGGGTGATCTTTACACAGGTGATTTGTATACAGTATTTTACAGATCACCTGTGTATAGACCTTATTCGATAACGTGATTTTTGGACTCATCTCCAGGGATTTGTCGTAAGCTGGGGCACGCGTACGTGAAACAAGTGGCAAGAAAGGCCCAGTTCGTACAAGGGAGTAGTAAAATACCGGTGTTTTTCTACTCCTATGTTCCCACGCCGAGTCCTCTGTGCACTGAGTGCAGGTCTCTTGCCGCACCCTGGTTCCCTGGACCCCGGTTCACGTGATTGTGACGTTTATCGAATAAGGTCTATAGGTAGATCGGTGTTCTCTGCACCAGGGGGGGGGGGGGGGGGGGGGGGGGGTCATTGTTCACTCAACCACAGGTCTTCCTCTGGTCAAGCTAAGTTACTGAGTGTACAGTAGGGTGCCGATTATCCACACCCCTTGGGGCGCGAGGTTGTCTCCCGGGGGGGGGGGGGGGGGGGGGGGGGTGTTCGGATGAGAAAAATGTTCGGATAAGGGAGCAGTCATACATCTATCTAAAACATGCATATTCCCGCATGTTTTCATCATTTTTCATTCTCTTCGGCAGTACAACAGGAACTAGGTGCACTCCAGCTCCTAAAAATGACACTATCGGGATACCTTTTGACTCCAACCTGTTGTAACTCATCTTGTGCCTCGCTTGAATGGTGCTAACAGTGGGGAAAAATAGCCGCGGCCAAAACCCCGAAAAGCAGCTACTTTTTATTATCCAGCCCCAGCAAGTGATCCGGATAATCGATCATCCGGGTAGTTGACCGGTCCGGATAATCGATTATCCGGATAGTTGACTGGTCCGGATCATCGATTATCCGGATAGTTGACCAGTCCGGATAATCGATTATCCGGATAGTTGACTGGTCCGGATCATCGATTATCCGGATAGTTGACCAGTCCGGATAATCGATTATCCGGATAGTTGACGTCCAGATAATCGATTATCCGGATAGTTGACGTCCAGATAATCGATTATCCGGATAGTTGACTGGTCCGGATAATCGATTATCCGGATAGTTGACGTCCAGATAATCGATTATCCGGATAGTTGACTGGTCCGGATAATCGATTATCCGGATAGTTGACTGGTCCGGATAATTGATTATCCGGATAGTTGACGTCCGGATAATCGGCGTTCTACTGTAAGCTACTTGCGAATCTTCAGACGTGATGATTGGCCTAACGAGAGAGCTTGGAAGCTCAGGGCCCTACGCTATGCTTTTTTGCCTTGATGACCTAGACAAAAAAAGCATAGGGATGGTATAAATTCTTTCAAAAATTCCTTTTTTTTTTTTAAGACATAACCTGGGATTCGAACCCGCACTATCGCGCCCTGCATGCATCCCCCGGTCTTTAAAAAATTCCTTTTTTTAAAGACATAACCTGGGATTCGAACCCGCACTATCGCGCCCTGCATGGATCCCCGATACACTTCGCATACATACTAATTCTTCCAAGTTGCTTCACATTATGATCTTGCATTTGAAAGCCCTATTTGAATATGCATTGTGGCCAGCCGTCTTTGATGGTACGGTACGGTAGGGTTAGGTACGGGACAGGTACGATCGAGGGTAATACGACACCGTCTCCCGTACCGTACCATCAAACACAGCTGGCCACATACAGCTGCCCGCAATATTCAAATAGGGCTTTCAAACGCAAGATCATAACGTGAAGCAACTTGGAAGAATGGGTATGAATGCGAAGTGTATAGGGGAATGCATGTAGGGCGATAGTGCGGGTTCGAATCCCAGGATATGCCTGAAAAAATAGGAGAATTGAAAAATTTATAACATCCCTATGATTTTTTTGCCGTCAGATACGGGATAGCGCCAGGCGTGACACAAACAAACACACAAACACCAAATTAAAGCTGTGTGGACCCTGGCTAGCGCCAGACGTTACTGAAGTAACGTCTTCTGCATAGCTACGGGAATAAGTTATAACTTAGCCAGGAAACTCTAGAGCTGGAACAAAAGTGAGCCCAGTTCTATTTTACAAACACCAGTGTGTCTTGCTGTGCTCCTCTGTGTTTCATCTGGGTCTCTTCGCGGCACCCATTCTGCACTGTCCCGGCATGACAATGAGAAGTTCTCTCTACCGGTGTTTGGCCTGTGTTGTTTTTTTGCCAGGAATGCCAAGTACTTGAAATGATACGCCGTTGAGGAGATGCAACCTGGTCCAGATATGGCAGGGGAAGGCCAAGCGTCTGCTCTCAGATCCCCCGGCACCTCACTCAGTGCCTCGGCTGGGTCGGATTTAGCTGCAAGCAGCCTGGCCTCCCTCCGGGTAGCTCAGAGTGGAGCTTGATGTCTTCTTGTGACCAGAGCAATCTTCACTAGGCATCATGGGTGCTGTGTGTTTCCACTGCGAGTGAGCCTGTGTTGCTGTGATCTGCCGCCCATGCTCTATTCCTTGATCATGGATTGACAGTCATGTCAGGGCTGTTTTTAATGGCGTTTGTTGAAGTTTTTTTTTTTAAGTACACTAGCCTGAGTTAGCCTTTACTGAAACTTGACTGACGATATAATTATTAGATCACAATGCCTCTGTGCATTGAGCCAATCCACATTGATTGAATTCATAGAAGCCCAGTCTATATTTCTGGAGATTTGATTTATGTACTTGTATTCGCATTCAAGACTGAAGATCTCACCAGAACTTAGTACTGTAGTAGAAGATGGTTAAAGGGTAAGTATACCCTAACATCAAATGTTCACCAGCTGTAGTCTTGGCGGGGTGCTGAGTCAAAAATCAACTCAAAATTGCCTTGGTCCGAGGAAGCTGAGACGCTCCCTTCCTCCTTTATTCCAAATCAACCTCGCCACTTCCACCGCCATGGGCCGACACTGGGTGACTGCGCATGCGCCCTACTAGATGGTGATTTGTATGGAAAAATGTCACTAAAGGCGCCATTTCGTTTTTATATAAGCACGGATGACCGCGATTGGCCCATATGTTGTAGTCTTTTGGACGCTGAGTCGACTGGTTTTGGTCCGCCGGGAAGGCTGCGATACCACATTCGGCCCTTATTCCCAATTGAACATGGTTGAATAAGCGGTCACGTGCTCCTGCGTTAGGGGTGTGCGGATAATGCTCGAAAAGGTGGCAGATTCTGCTCGAAAAGCAGTGGAATTCGCAGAACCATACAAACCTTATGGAGGGCCTCGAATTCTGCCAATTTTTCTGCCGGCATTATCCGCATATGCCTATCCTGCGTACACCAGTCACCTGGGCCTGGTCAGTAGTCACCAGGGAGTCGTAAAATACCGGTATTTTACGACTCCCTGGTAGTCCCTGTACAATGCAGGGTACCGGTATATCAGTATAATAATATATAGAGCTCAAACGGTCACGGTTTTACCCCCAACGGTTAACTGCTAAGCTAACGGTCGGTTTAACGGTTATAACCTATAAGCCACGGCAATCCTGCGGACTCTTTTTTAACCGTATATTTGGCTATACTTATTCAAAAAATGTACCCTATTCAGTACAACGCACACATGTATATTATTCCCTTGCATGCTCATTCATACATACTCTCACACGAAGAGACCAGATATGACCGAGTTGACAGCCCAGAAATTGCGTACGCGTGCGACAGCCTGCGAAAGTGCATACTTTGCAACGACCTGATACTTGAAAATTGACTGAAAAGTTACTGCGTAACCGTATCTTTATCGGTTAACGTTAATTCTTCGTAACCGGTCTGCAACCGGTTAATGGACCGTATGCGTGTTAAAACAAAATGGCGTCACGATTTATTGAAAGTGGTATAGTTGGTGGTACGAGTGTTCAAACCAGGGAGTCGTAAAAGCCCGGGAGAGGACACGGGATGCGCGCACGCGGACGATGTTTGCCTCGGCCAGAAAGTGAAGCACGCTAGGCCGGCGCGGCCGGATCTACTCGATCCACGGCGCTGTGCTCGTTTTCAGCGCAGGGAGTCCTAAAATACCAATATTTTACGACTCGTTGTTGACACCATTATCCGAAACTGGTGGCGAAGGAAGCATAAACATGATTTGTCAGACTCAGTACACATGGTACACATGGTGGGGAGTTGACAGTGTGTGTGTGGGGGGGGGGGGGGGGGGGGGGAGGGGGGGGGCGTGTGTATGTGCACATGTGCTTGTACTTTTGTGTGTGTTTGCACAGTGTTTGTGTGTGTGTGCGTGCGCATTTTTGTGCACAATTCCGTTATGAAAAACAAATGATAGGTTTACCTTTTGTACACTCGCCAAGACTTCGGTTAGATTCACTGAGAACCTTTCTGGCCAACCTGGAGGCTGAGCCTTCCGTTTCCTAAACGGCTAAACTTTAGTCACCGCGTACTCAGTATACGAGTAGAAAAGTGTTGTAGATAGATAGGGCCTAGGGAACACACATTGATTGTTTTTAAAAGAATCCAGGCAATATCATAAATCATGGAACGAGTGCGTAATCATTGAATGCTCTATGTTGCGTTTTGACGATGCTGAAGGAAGGGAGCTGTTGCGATTCACTCACAACACACACACTCGACTGCAATTTCAGTGCAATTTCTGACACAAGTTCATAAATCCACGAGTACGAGGAAGCTCAGCGGATCTCCACAAGAACTTTCGCCCATCACCTGCAATGAAATATGGGCTGTATGATATGACCAGCGGCTAACATGGGAAGTGGCGTCATTTTCCACAAATCTCGTTTCATTGTTGTATGTTGTATACTTTATTTATAGTGGAAATCAAAACAGGCAAAATGCCTAATAACATTGGACCCATTCACAACCATTTGACTGCAATTCAGTTCAATTTCTGCCACAAATTCAACTCCACGAGTACGAGGAAGCTCAGCGGATCTCAACACGAACGTTCGCCTATCACCTGCAATGGAATATGGGCTGTATGATACGACCAGCGGCTAACACGGGAAGTGGCGTCTCTTTCCACAAATCTCGTTTTATTCACAGCCATGATTTGACTGCAATTCAGTTCAATTTCTGCCACAAATTCAACTCCACGAGTACAAGGAAGCTCAGCGGATCTCAACACGAACGTTCGCCCATCACCTGCAATGGAATATGGGCTGTATGATACGACCAGCGGCTAACACGGGAAGTGGCGTCATTTCCAGAAATCTCGTTTCATTCACAACCATTTGACTGCAATTCAGTGCAATAGACCGATCCCCTTATTATACTGGGTTCGAGCACGGGGGCAACCTCACTCGCGATCGAGCTAGTTTTTGAACGTGACAGCATCTTTGACAGTGTGTTTCAGGTTTGTTTTGGAATGTCTTCTGCTTAGTTCAAGTAGTTTGCGATGGCTTCGAGCGGTGCTAAACCTCCTGCTGGTAGGAGCAGAGTCTCCGAGAGAGACATGGACTGTGATGCCGCTGCAGGATTTTTTCAAGGCGCGGGAGGGAACGATCTCGGGCCACAAACAGGAGTTACTCCAGAGGTGAGTTTTTTTGTTGTTGAAATATTCGAATCGCGAATCGTGTTGTGAGATTTATTTTGTGCCTAGGCTACAGCAGACCATATTTCTTTCTCCTTGCGATCGGTGCTGAAGATAATAGTAACCTTTTTCTGGTCTGTCTTTTCCTCTCCAGAGCCATCTTCTATGAAGGTAACCGTGGTGCTGCCAAGTCACCAAGTCGCGATCAGCAGCCCTGAAGTGGAAAAATCGATTTTCCAACGATCTGGTTGGACATCAGCCACTAAAGTACTTCTGATTTGCCTGTAGTGACAACAGCAGCCATCCTTGGACACCTTGCAAAGACAGGAAAAGCCACTGGTGGAAGCGACTGCTATGAGCTGACGATAGCAGTGCAGTGGTGATCGCTGTTTTGTCAAGTCGAAGGGCTAGCCAACCCAGAGGAAGCATAAAAAAAACGATGAGCAGTGCGTGTTATTTGTTGAGCGTGAAGAGCTAGAGAAGGACAGTGCAAACACATGGACGGGGTGGATGGTGTTTGAAGAACAGTGTGCTGTGTGCCGGCTGGTGGTGATGGTGGTCTTTGTCAGCATGTATTCGTGCTGCTTCTTGTGCTGGAACACTTCTCGCCCAGGAAGGCAGATTGCGTGCTCCCTGGCCCTCAGTTGGCTATGGGGCATTTGTTCCAGGAACATTACCCCAGAGCCAATGATGAGTCGTACCTTTGAAAAGTCGAAGCTTGCTGTTAATCGCAAGCGTAGCACAGTGGATTGCTCCCCCTTCGAAGCACGAGGGCCAAAGCTTGCCGCTGTCTGCAGCAAAGTGTGTGTGCGGTTCTTTCGAACCTATGAATATACCGCCTGCACGTTCAGAGTGAACTATTTTCTAGTATATTTAACATCCTCAACCCGCCACCACCATGCGCTCTTGGCCGAACTAATGCACGAAGCATAAACACACCAGCACAGCAAGGACACTTCCGTTGACAGATAGTGTTTACGCCTCTAGACCGCTGTTTCTTTTCTTCGAGCTCATCGTTAGAGGAGGATAGTAGCAGGATACTAATGATGATATAATAGAAGATGATAGACGGTTTATGGTCCGATATTGATGATTGAAGATCTAAGAAAGCAATGACAGTGATTGCGAAATGGATAATATTATCATGATTATATGCCAGTCTGGTAATGCGTTGTACTGGTGGACAGTATTGAAATCATCACTGCATTCGATGCAAATATTGGTATACCTTTGGTTTCAGTATTGGAAAAAAAGAGTAAGAGAACCTGGTTGATTTGGTTGCATCTGCGACTGGCTACCGGGTGTTGTGATCAGCAATGTTACCATGGGAGAAAATAAGAGCGCAAGGATCTGTTGGGTCTTTTTGTGCCGGTGCGAGAACCCTAAGTGCATGGCAAAATAGAACTGTTTCATCCACAATGCAGAATGTCTTGCGGTACATGGCATTGATGACTGAACATCTCGCCAGCTCGCCCAAATGGGGATCATGCCCAAACGGAGGAACAAGACGTCTTTCCAGCTCAGCTAGCTATATAGTATATACCGTGAAACGGATGATTAACTTGTGCCACGCATGACAGCTTCTGTCCCATTCGGCCCAGGCTTAGACACATCAATGCCAATAGCAGCTGATCCTCCATTACATGCTCATTGGCGATTTACGGCCACCTCCAACTGTATCCGCCGTCCCTCAGCTTCCGTCTTCACAGATCTGGCTCGGCGCAGTACATTTTCTCGGCTAGGCTCAAAGAAGTCCCACAGAGCGGTCCAAACACCTGAAGGCAAACCAGTCTGAAACTGGCGCGGCTCAGAGTCTTTCTTTATGTTATTGTACGTAAGCTGTTTTTCGGCTTTCTTCACCCCATCGTCCAACTGCTCCACGAGACTCTGTACACGAGCTCTACTTGCTGCCAACTCCTGATGCAGATGCTGCACTTCCATTACAGGACCAAACTGCACTAAGCCAGGTTCCTTTCCAACTCAAAATGCCGTTGCCTCTCAGCAAAATACTGGTTTGCGAGCATGGGGAGCTCGTGATGCAGACGCTGCACTTCCATGACCAAACTGCACTAGGCTCAGCAAATACTGTTTTGCGAGCATAGGGAGCAGAGCGTCCAGACTCCACTCTCTTGCGAAAAGCAAACCTGGTACCGTAGGACAGCTGTTTGGTTTCCTGGACGCATCCTGCCCTTGTAGAGCTGGGCAAAACGATTTCGACTTCGGGATCGAAATGATCGCTGCATCTCAAATATTCAGAGTGACCCTAAAACTACGTCCTTCCTCACGGGGAATAGCCTGGATCCGCTTGCTCCAGGCCGCTGTGGCTCCACACGACGAAAGGAGTGAAATGACTTGCTTGCTTCGTCCTCCTGTTCTGACAGTGAGGAACGCAGCAATGATCCTGAGAAGGCATCCTGAAGTCGTAAAAAGGAAGACGTCTAAACAAAAACAAAACAGCTCAAATCAAAAGTCCTTGTGGCATTTTTTGTAGACAGGCTTGCACTGCGTGTAGATTTCGCGTGCTCTGCACTTCGCATGCGAGAAGTCACGCAAAGCCGAGCTCGGCGCGAGGTGAGGTTGGTCGCGTGTGTGCAGCAGGATCCCACGCGACTGCGGAGTTGCCCCCTTGCTCGAACCCAGACAATAATAAGGGGATCGGTCTATTTCTGCCACAAATTCAACTCCACGAGTACGAGGAAGCTCAGCGGATCTCAACACGAACGTTCGCCCATCACCTGCAATGGAATATGGGCTGTATGATACGACCAGCGGCTAACACGGGAAGTGGCGTCATTTTCCACAAATCTCATTTCGTTCACCAAAAAATTGAAGTACAATTAGGGATTTATCTTCCATTTCCATCGCCTCAGAATAAATTAACTTCGATAAACTGAGAGAGAATGAGTGAGGCAGCTGGAAGAATTGAGGATGAAAATAGAGATCAGAAGACTCGACGGAGCAATCGTCTCCGTGCTCTAAGAGAAATTGGAGAATGTCCCAATTAGTATTTCAAGAAGACATCACAATTTTTGAATTTCCTGGCCTCGCAACACCGTTCCCTGGCAGCGTTCCCCCGGCAGCGCGAGGCAAAGATGTTTTCTGGGAATGTGTGCCGTGTCCTCTCCCGGGCTTTTACGACTCCCTGGTTCAAACTCATTTGAACTTCATACTGTTCGTCTTCTTTTTGACATGCTCTCTTTCCATCGTCCTTAGCTTTTGTTTGTTGAGAGCTGTTTTGGCTTTCTCCTACACCTCTGGGGGATGCCAAGTGATGGTTTTGAGAGGCTGGTGATGGCTGTGAGCGAGAGTTTGCCGATCGGCGTCGTCCTCGCTATAGCGATGAAAATACTAGTTACTGCGCACCGGGCAGATATCACAACACGTCGGAGCGTCCAGGAGCAAAGGAATCTTGGGTTTTCACTGGAATCTAGTTCCTCCAGCATCGTGTAGCCCACCGTCGGTGAATGGCGGTCCAGAAAGGTCGAACCTGGTCTTCTGCAGCATCTCGCAGTCCTGCGAGGCACACTGAATACGCCTGTCATGTATTCTACTAATAAAAATCACGAAGTAGTGGACTTTACAGTGATGAGTCTATCCTGTATGCTGCAAAAGACGCATAACCCGTGTCACTTGTTATAACAAGTGCTAACGCATCTGTCGGTAAAAGAGATGGAGAAATAAAAACGAGAAATACATGACATACACACCCTCTCCATTGTTTCTGTTATTGCATGCATGGTCACCCATCTGTATGTGCATGTTTACACAGACGTCTCAAATCGGGTTCGCGATAGCGTTTCTTCAAATGAAAAAAATTGGTGGTTAAAACTTTGGACTTTGTGCCTATAATAGGCCATTCACACGACGGGCAAACTTACTTTTATCGTACTGTTTCCAAGGATATTTGCTCGGATACGATAAACTTGGACACACGCGTGCAACTGATTTTTTATCTTGGCCGAGGCCCTTTTGCTCGTGATTATCTTTGCACGCCAGGAAAAGTGTCGGTTGTTGACAGTGCGTACTGCAAATGCAGTGCTTGAACAAGGGAAAATTCCAAATTGAACATTTCCCGGCATTTTCAGGAGGTCACTATGGATACATTGACGGTTGCAAAGTTTGCCCAGCACCGTGTGAACTGGATCACGGTTTGCCAGTGTTAGGGCCGATTCCCACTACGGTACCGTGAGTGCCGTGCCGACGATTTGGGTAGGTCACGTGTACCCCACGGTACGAGCTTGAAGCTGAGAGTGATTTACACCTGCGCACAATCATTCCGTGCATTCCGTCGGCAGGCCGGATCACCATTTTTATCAATTTCTGACTTTGGTCCTGAGGGAAAATAGCGGGGGAGATGACTGGAGAAAGCTCAAGAATCAACCAATCGAAAAGCCAAAAGCCAAGAAAAAACTTCGTAGCACAAATACAAAAGAAAGAAAAAACTTCCTTTCAGGGAGTAGTAAAATACCTACAGTCGTCGCCAAAAAAATCCGGCCAAATGCAATGCTAGCTACCGGTAGCTGTACTGGGCCGCATGCACTGTATCATACTTCATAGACTTAGTAGTGGTACTGGTAGACCGGGTCTGCAGTTACTTCACTGTTCACATGCTGACAGGCTAGGCCCGCACATACACCATGTAGAGGCGACAACGGCTTGGCAGGTCAGCCAAATTTGTATAGGCCCAAACCATGCAAACCTATCATCAGCGTTGATTGTTCACTCGAAATATGTTTGTGGAAGGAAACTGGCATGTTGAAGTTTGCTCTGAGGCCAGAGTCAATCGAACTGAGCCACTCCTTTGTGTTGACCCATTGCCTCCAAGTTGCCCAATTTTTCGCTTCAAATCAGAGGTAGCTCCTAATCGGAAAGGTTTTAGAGTGCACGTCAAATTCACTCTATTAGTCTGAAATTAGGTAAATGCTATCGCTCCACGACGGCCATTACAGAGTAACAATAAGCCTTGGTGTGTGCTTCTCCATTAGTTTTGATTGGTATGCGGTGCTTTATTGGCGAGAGGCGAGCCGCTGTTTACCTGCGACAAGAAGTTGATTTTTCGAAAGTCGTAAAACTCAAGTCGCAGTGCGAAGCAACACGTCAAAAACTCACCTGCTTGGTGTGGCGCTTCTGGTCATCGCAGAGCCATGAAATTTTGTCTCGGAGTATAAGTTATAACACATCGTAGTCTCACTGTGACATATGTTTTCTAATCAAAATACCAAGAGAGAAAGTGAATATTGAGTCCGTTCCGGTTTGCAACCTACCGGTATGTATGGAATCGAGCATGAGTACGAGGACGAAAGTGCGGAATCGGAGCCCGACGCGCGCTAGCGCGGAGGGCTCCGATTCTAGCACTTGAGTCCGAGTACGAATGCTTTGATACCATTTCTGACATGCATTCACGCCTAGGCGTGCTCCGATTGGAAAATCGGAGACCTGCAAGCGCTCACAGGTCTTCAGTGGCTGATTCAAAGCACGGCAAGTCGCGCTAGGATTCGCTGTTGCCATGTCGATTGTCATGTGACATGTCAGAAGTCCTATTTGAAACCGTCGCCTTCTACACGACTACACTCACTCAGAGTCAGACTCAGGCTCGGCGCAGTGCTCAACCCGACTGCAGCAGGCAGAGCGCGGCGCAGACTGTTCAGTGCTGTCCAGTGCCAGTGGCAGTGGCAGTGGCAGTGCATGTGCCACTCCACTCCCAGGCCCAGTGCATGAACCCGCGATGAAGTACCGCGTAGATCTACCTACCATACCTATGTACGCGTATACTTGGCATTGGCCGGATTTTTTTGGCGACGACTGTACTAGTACTACTCACTGCATTCGACCTCATACGGAATACCACGGCATGCCATTTCCACCCCCCAGAGACCCTCGGCACCGGAATGTCCACGGCGCGGTACGCGCAGGAGCCACGGAATGAACTCGCGCCAAAACTGCCCCTCACGTGAGCAAATCACCATGGGTACTCACGGCACGGCAGTGACGGCACTCACGGTACCGTAGTGGGAATCGGCCTATAAGGCCGATTCCCACTACGGTACCGTGATCTTGGTCACACAATGTTTACACGTCGTGTGAATGGCCTATAAGACTTTCCGGTTTTACAGTACGCCTTGTACATTGTGTTGCGACTTTATGGCTGTGTAATATCATCAGCCACAAGGACTGCATGTACATGTCAGCTGTCCCCGGGGGAAAATTGCGGAAAAAATCGCAAAAAACGCGGGGAAAAACGCGGCATAATATGGCATAATTTGCGGTGAATTTGCGGTAAATATGCGGTAAATATGCGGTGAATAATATTGATGTGCAGCAATTTTCAGTGAGTATGTAGTGAAAACAATCAGTTACAAGTCGCTGGTGTAAGCACTCGTCATATTTGAGTAAAAAGCCGCCACGATGAGACGTTGCTGACCGAACAGTGCACTGTGTGTACGTATAGTAGTGCAACAAAAAAGTTCAAAAAACGCGGGAAAATCGCGGAAAACGCGGTCTTTTAAAAATCGGAAAAAAACGCGGCCGCGGAATTGCAATTTTCCCCGGGGACAGATGTCAGGCAAAGGACATTGAAATCCGATGGGATGCCCGGGGTCGGCGCCCTCGCTGCTTTTACTGCATACTGTATTTCCCCGAATCTAAGTCACACCTTTTTTACACTAAAATTCAAGGGCAAAGGGGCGGGGGGGGGGGGCGACTTACAATCGAGCATGACTTACTGCTGAAGAAACGATTATGGCTCAAACCTGAAAAAGGGGGGGGGGGGGGTGCGACTTATAATTGAGTAAGTAAAAGTAATTTTTTATTTTTTACTTCATAATTGAGTGCGACTTATAATCGGGGAATTACGGTACATACACTGCACCTCAAGACTTCACATACACATTGTAAAAAAAGGACCAACAGTGCTCACGGCCGCAAGGCCAGCGCCCCGTGGCCGCTTGACGTCTCAACGGATTTCAATGTCCGCCACAGTAGAAGAGAGAGAGAGAGAGAGAGAGAGAGAGAGAGAGAGAGAGAGAGAGAGAGAGAGAGAGAGAGAGAGAGAGAGAGAGAGAGAGAGAGAGAGAGAGAGAGAGGAAGAGAGGAAGAGAGAGAGAGAGAGAGAGAGAGAGAGAGAGAGAGAGAGAGAGAGAGAGAGAGAGAGAGAGAGAGAGAGAGAGAGAGAGAGAGAGGAAGAAGACACGCACACACAAAACCACGACAAAATCTAAATTTGTAAAAGAGCTACATTGTATTTGATAATGCTGACATGAATTAACAACAACACCAGCAGAAACTCAAAGGCTAAATAAATAGTGGATAGTTGCTAAGAGTATGCGCAACAGAAAGCAACAGCGCGAGTTCATAAGTGGCATAAGAACTAGGCTATCGACAGCCATAACCAGTTAGGAGGCTAAACAGGTCTGGGTTAGAGGTTGGCGATGAACTGTGCGGACAGCTGTTTGACTAGCAGTCTAGCACTAGCGCACTGCCAAGTCAGAGAAGATACTACCCCTCTCTCGTAGGATTGTTCAACGGATATGCGCCATAGCAATGTACACACACACACACACACACACACACACACACACACACACCTTACACATGCCCATCGCACACACACACACACACACACACCACACACACACACACACGCACACACACACACACACACACACACACACACACACACACGCACACACACGCGCACACACACGCACACACGGAGGGCTGGCCAGCCACCTCTCCACACTCGAGGCGAGCAGCGTTCGCACTAGGCACGCACAACACTTGTGACGGCACGCACACGCGCACGCACTGGTTAAATCACGCCGGCATCTTAGTGACGGCTAATACTGTTTTTCAGATTGAAGCGGTAACCTTGGCACGTAAACTTCACTGGGTAGGGTTGCAAGGCATCCAGAGTGCTACCTACCATCAGTGATCCATTGATCTGGAACTGGTGGAGCAGATCATTCCACAATGGGTACCTGCACAGCGTTTTGGGGTTGCCGAGGATGATCAGGCCGCGCTTGGCGCGCGTCAGTGCCACGTTCAGGCGGCGGACATCGCCCACAAAGCCAATGGAGTCGGACGGATTGCTGCGAACGCACGAGATGATAATGTAGTCTTTCTCGCGGCCCTGGAAGCCGTCCACACTGCCCACCTCGACGCCTTTCGCCTGCGGGCACTCGGTGCGCAGGCGCGAGAGTATGTGCGAGCGCTGACACGAGTACGGGGTGATGACGCCCACGTCTGCCGGCGCCACGCCGCAGTTGAGGATGCGGGAGAGCGCACGTACCACCCAGCCGCCCTCCGCCTCGTTCTCGTAGGACATCTTGTTGGTGCGGTTGTCGTGGCCGTCCACCGCCAGAAACAGCATTGGCGAGGTGCTCCCTGCTTTGCTACCGGTGGTAACTGGCCACGGGAAGCGCTGGGCGGTGTGCTGCCGATCAGCCGCCGTGATGCCACTGACCAGCTTGCCGCCGTAGAGGACGCGGTTGGAGAAGTCGACAAGCGTCGGGTGCATGCGGTACTGCGTCACCAGCAGCTCGGCGCGGTGGCCGGCCAGGACGAGGCGCTCGAACAGCGACACGGACGAGCCCAGCGCCGGCCCCAGCTGGCACTGGTCGCCGAGCAGGACGAGGTGCCTCGGGCACTGGACCACGGCCAGAAGCACCTCGGCCTCGATGCCCTGTGTGGCCTCGTCCACGATGATCACCGGGTACTCGTACGAGCGGACGGTGCTCAGCGCGCTAGAGCTACACGTGGTGACGATCACGTGGCACCTTTCCAGCACTTTGGACTCGTACATATTCCGTAGGCGATGGAAAGCCTGCAGAAGGTCGGGCGAATCTGGGCGACGTCTATAGGCTTCTTCGACGAAAAGGTCTAAGTTGCCTGTGACACCGGCGTTGTCCATGAAGTGCGGCACACTGTCGCCAAAGCGCGCCTTATCGGCCTTCAGCAGCTGCACAACTCGGTGTTCCAGGCACAGGTGTCGGATGTCGTCGGGAATCGGCTCGGACGTCTCCTTGCGGCGGTTCTCCGCGTTCACGCGCACCGTGCGGAGACCCCGAGCGTCCGCTATGCGCGCCAGGTTGTCGCTGGCAATGTTGGACGGCGACAGGAGCAGGATCCGCGCCTTGCTGCCGTCTTCCTGGTCGCCGAGCATGGTCTCCTTGCAGCGCACCACAATCTCGCCGGCCACCGTCGACTTTCCCGTGCCGGGCGGTCCCTGGATCAGCGTCAGCGACTGCTGGAACACCTTCTTCACCACTGCACGCTGCACGTCTGTCAAGGGTTTCGCTCCCGGCGAGCACTTCCCTCCAAGCGTGCTGCGAGACTCCTTCGCCGTTTTCCACACGCCTAGAAGCCTTGGCAGAAGTTGCTCGGAGACAGGCGGTGGACGCGCCATCACCTCAAAGTACAGGTCGGGATTAGGTAATCGTTGGCTAGCTTTCTTCTCATTGCCGCGATCCATCACTATTCTGGCGTAACTTGCCTCGACGCTAGCTAGCTTGTCCACCGCCTCCAACATTCGCTCCGCAGGCAGCGACGCGCGCACTGACGTAATTGAGAAAGTGTCACCGGCCAATTCGATGCTCTCGTCGCCACGCCGATCCTGGATAATCACCTCGCACTGCTGTTCCTTGCCTCCACGCGCTTGTACATTGCCGGGGTGGGGAAGGAACTTCACGAGACCATTGTATGCCGTGCTGTTGCGCGCAGTCACCGCCACCGGCAGGCCGTGAATGTGTTCTTGCCGTTCGGAGCACGCTGCGCCTACTCGCCACGCCTCCAGAGTGCACGAGACCAGCTCCTCAGTTAGCCGCTTGAACTCTGAGATGGTCACGAAGCGACCTCCTCTGCGCCTCGTCTCCGTTTCCCCCTGCTCGGCCTCCTGGTCATGGACCGCGGCACGATTGTATTTGCGAAAGTCATGCGGTGTCTGGAAGACCGTGGGCTGCACATCGGCAAGCGCGTGGTCCTGGAAGTACTTCCTCGCCGGCTCAGTACAGCCCAGGTCGCCGCTCTCCTGGGGGGCATCGAACTGGTCGACAGGCTGAGGCGCTGCCGTCTGGCGGCGTATTTGTGAGCTGACCCAGAATGGCAAAACTCCTCTAGACTCTCCTAGTCGGCACCGACGATTTACAATCGCACGCCGCACGGCAAGGCACGGCACCATGAGAGCACCTGGCAAGACCTGCCCACACGTCCAACGGCACACAACCTAGCAAATTCCCAACAGCCAAGATCTACAGTGCCCGTACTTGGTCTCGAGTTGGATTGCAAATAATTGAGAGTCTTGAATCGATAATCATCATCTTTATTGTACTAACTACTTCCATGGCCTGTTTTGAAAATAACAGACTCGTGGTGCAACTGCACTGCACTGCATGCATATGCAGTGCCACACTCAACTCTCTACGATCGTACGAGTCGATCGATAGGTAGCTCTCAACGAAAAACAAAATGCTGGGCAAATCATTTCCACAGTGCAGAGCTAGAGCCGCGAATAATAATAATCATGATAAAAAATATATAAAAAAATCATGATAATTATTGTGCATTTTTTACATCTGATTGCAAGTCAAACTCGTTGACGTTCTTCATCGATCGATTGTTCTCGTACTAGTTTGATAATGACGGCCTGTACTTTTGCAGTGAGCTGTGCAGGTTATAAACATCAGCAGCGCTTCCGGAATCCTTTTCTTCCACGGCCCTAGGCCCTGCGACTTGTCAGTCATGGATCGAAATTCATGAATTATTAGTGATCGATATGGTAAAATATCCCTCAATGGAGCCTGGCCTGTGGGCATGTGCGATGGCAAGGAAAACCATGGGCTAGTCGCTGAGGCCGACATTGAGTTTGCCACACCGTCAAATGTAGCAGGGCTGAAGAAGAGATTAGACAAAGGTGACGATCAGAAAACTGCAATTTTACCAGTCATGTACGGTACGTGCATTTCACTCACTGATCACGGAACTAGCTGGGGCTGAAACGATCACGATCGATTTTTATCGTTAATAACATAATAGTGTCAGAAACTTGTGCAAAAATTACTGAAAGGATAGCTCCGAAACATGGCAGTTTTTTGAAGTCAATTGAACATCACAACATGGACCATATCCCTAGGGGGCAACTAGTCACAGCGGAAAATGATTCAGACTTGACAAAAAAAGGGGGTTTCAGAGTAATCTGTGAGTGATTGTATTGATTAAAAAGTAATTATTATCGATCGAATACCGAGGTATAATCGTTTCAGCCCTACGTAACGAAGCTCATGAAAGGTATATTTAAGTCAAAGTCTGACGCGCCTGCTGCTGCTTGTGGCATGCACTGTAGATGAGCAACTGTTCAGTACGTATAACTACTGTAAAAGCCATATATATAACGAAGTGCTAACTCTAACGAGTTAACGAGGAGAAATCTGTCGTTAAAATAGAAATCCTTATACAGAACAGGGGCGTACACCGCTCGCTTCCAGGAGTGGTTCCCATGCCAACTGATCAACCAACATTCCACACAATTGCAAGTGCTCTTATACGTATCCGATGGAGTTTCTGCATAAACTGCTGGATAATGTCATACGTTTTTTTGATTTAAAAAGACTGAACATTGCCAAGGCACTTTTATGGTTGTTTTGTTCAGCAGGACAATTTCGTGCAGTCTTGAGTCGGGTTATATTCTCGAGAGGACTGTGGTAAAGCTGCCCAAGCTTCGAATCATCTGGAGCAAATATTACACAGGGCAAGCAGAAGCCACCATGGCACGCCACTCAAAAGACTACCCAGGGAAACTCCTCCAACCAGGATAGTTGAAATCGGCGCTGTTTGCCATCCGTCTGGACACGCACAGGAAACGAAATCCTTCGCCTTCAGTGGCGCACAATGATTGTCGATGACGGAAATCTTTTCCATGTCGGGCAACTTTCCGGGGAATCAGGGATTCCACTATGGATTTACACTTTCAGACTATCCTTTCCAACACCCTCCAATGTCACTGAAGTAAGTCTTGGATGATCCAGCTGCTTCCAACAACGGTCGCTCTACAGCTTCGCCGACGATTCCGTCCTCTGTGCTGCTCGTTGCAGGCTCCACTTGCAAGTCAGGTGCGTCCGCAATCTCATCTGTCGCTTGACCTTCGTCACTGGCTACACGCTTAACCACCTGCTCAAAATAGCTCTGAATAGAGCGCTGGCCCTCTGGATGTCGACTCTTCATTTTTCTTTTCCACAAAGTGAAAGCATCGTCAAAAACGTAACCGACTAACTACTAACTTTTACTTGTTACATTGTCGAAACAAACTGCAAAGGAAATGACTCTGAGATCGAGGAGTCGCATGTAGGGACTTTGTTGCACCCAGGAAGTAAAGTTCAGTAGATCTACGCTGTGTCACAAAAATGCCCCAGCAGCACTTTTACACCTGGCCTAGTCGTAGTCACCGTCCTCGGACCGTCAGGCGGACTGCAGGCGCCTAGCTAGGCATGCATGCACTGCACGCTGGGCGCGGGCCTGGATCAAAACACCCACATTGAATTTGAATTATTTTTTTACTGGTTCCCGGGAACCGCCCTATGTACGCCCCTGCAGAAATTGATACATATACTGTCCTACTGTGCGTTGAGGATGAGTGGAAATCGTTACCTTTGGTACACGTAAACTAGTCAATTTTGGGAAATCGTTATATATGCGCCTCGTTAGAATAATGGCTTTTACAGTAACTTGAAGCTCAGCTCACCTCCGGATTGCTGGTAGAGATTCATCGGCGGCAAGTTGCAATTTCCCGAATATAATGCTGCATGATTGATTTTGGATGTTGACAGCGAAGCACCCATTGCGGGTGGTCCGCAGTCTTCTTCCAACACAGAAGTAGGATCAGGTCAGTGAGTGCTTGTCAGTCGCTGCACTCGTCCTTGAGGTAATGCTGCACAGGATGGAAGCCATGACAATACGCGACGGCCGACATGCATCATTATATTACACTAATCTGTCTAAGAGACAGGGGACCAAGGGACCTTCAAAACCTGGTACATGTACATGTATCTGTTGCATGTACCACGTGGTCATCTTATCCAGGGTCATTTGACGGGAAACAGCATCCCTTGGTCCTGATTGCAGGGGCCGCCTTGACAGGTTTTTGTTGTAAAATGCTTTCCTTGATTGGTGTTGGTATATCACACGTGACACTGTCGCGATAAGGTTTGCGTGTGCTGGCGCGGCACAAAGCTGGCATGCAGTCAAAGACACCTTATTAATTTGAACTGGAATTGGCGAATGACGCAAACTAATAATATTAACCTGCAACCTGCTCAGGAGATCTGATTTCTCTGCGTGTGCCGAGTGCTTCAGCGATGTATCTCCGGTTGATTTCCCATTGCAAGCCCATCGACGCATTCAGGGGCTATGTCCTGTATGTGCTGTATGTCCTGTATGTGCTGTATGTTTTATTGTTACTGTTAGTTGTGCTTGCGACCCTATTTTATTGACTTGTCGTAGCCGGGCTCTGTGCCGATTCAGGAATGCCTCAACCTCGCCACCGACAACTAACTTCAACAAGCAACTCTGGTTAACGATCATTGACAGATACATGCCCCCCCCCCCACCCGTATGATTAAAATATTAATTTTGTTTATGCGGGCAATGATTATGTGCGACCTGTTCATTATCATGATTATTAGTTGTAGTAACCACTGGTAACTGAGACTAGGCTTTTGTGCAAGCCTAATGACACGTTCAGGGCCTACTAGTACTACTACTTTAGTACTGTACTAGTGTAAATGCTATAATACTAGTATCCTGTATTTAAAGGGGAAGTGCATCGATTTTTCAAGTAGGGCTCAGATGAAAGAAAATAATGGATATCTGTTCCGATGGTACAGTCAGACCTCACTTATCTGGTCCTCTTTTATCCGGATCCCTCGCCATCCGGACGAAAATCGTTGGTTACCGATTTACAGCATATGTTATGCATACATACAGTATGCGTGTTCGATTATCCGGTTCCCTCACCTATCCGGATATTTTTGTGGGAAACGGATGCGTGCGGTTATGCGAGGTCTGACTGTATATCTCTCGCTTGCGTACGGCAAGGGAAACCTGCCATATCGCCGATTTCCCGATCCCGTTTCCATGGCGACTACAGGTGATGACGCACATTCTGCTTAGCTCCATGAGACGAGAGAAGGTCGATCACTGCAGAATTGTGTCATTTTCAGTTGTCTTCTTGTATTCACGAAGTGAAAGAAGTACTGTGTTCAATGAATGCTGTTTAATAGTGCCGTGAACAGTTTATTAGTAGTCCTCTCCGTTGTGTACTGGGACGTGACACCGACAGGGGAAAGCTGGAGTGCGGAGACGTAACTCGTTAGCTGGCAAGCGAAAATCGTGACGAACCAAGTGCTGAAATCTTGGTTGGGACAAATCAAACGTTCAGCATTTATCTCAACCAAGGACCATGCCGTTTGCTCTTTCCACTTCCTGAAGATTGATGCGCTGCCTGCTGGAGACTCTCCTATCTCTCGTAACATCTTCTGAAGCCAGGTGAGACGACGAGTAGCGGAGATTAGCGAACAAAATAATGTCGTATGTTTTGAAATTTTTGCTATCTACAGACACATACTATTAGTATGTGTCTATACTGTTTTTGACATTTTTGACTCAGTGTGTCACAGTTAGTGTGTGGCCTGTCTTGCCATGCCGGCGACAAGTCTGGCGTTCGTCCGCTACCGGTATGCACCTCGCTCAGAAAATGATCGTCTACTCGTCGTCAGTGGATCATGTACTGGTACGCTACTCCTAGATCCTGACGTCTTGGTTCAAAAGACTGTCACAAGCGCGTCTTGTCAGCATTTGTTCGCGCTATCCACCAGACGCGTGAACGAACTAGCATTTTCATGGTCTTTTCAAAACTGCAATATATATCCGTGTCCCGTTCAGTCTTGTGCACAGGAAGCACAGGAGAAGAGAAAAAGAGTAAACATCAGTGGCAAGCAACAGTTTGAGCCCAGGTCAGGGCTCAGTGTAGTACAGTTGGTTCTGTCCGGACCTCAACGCGCGAGAGGACGACACTATGCCTATGGACTAGTATAAAATATTATGATAATCTAGTGTCGGTGGTAGCAAGCCAAGGCCTGTCGTAGAACTCATCAAGGCAGTCAGTGCAGTGCTCCGGCTCGGTCGTCCATCAGTGTGCCTGTGTCCCAGTGAGCAGTGTCTCAAAGTTATCTAGCCAGTGTTGAACCTAACTCAACTAGTATTACTACAATCATCATGTCCTTGCATTGTTCATTATCAGCCACAATCTCAGTGTTCGCCATTCTGCATACTAGTACTACTAGTACATGACTGACTGTACGCTCGTACCGACTGCCTGCGGACTATCGACTACCGACTACCTGCTACAGTTTGGATCGTTTCTGCTTGCCTTCACTGGATGGACCTAGTGCCTCAATTATTTCTCAAAGCTCAAGTTATTTTGAGTCCTCCCTCACTAGTACTACTACTAGTGCACTGGGCCTGACTGAGTCTGCTCTGCACGCAGGACAGTCGGTAGTCGGCAGGGCCTAGGGCTTCTCGTCCGTAGATCTACTGACAGTTCTGTCGTGCTGACTGTATGTAGTTCAGTTCAGTCTGTTGTTCGCATCTAGATCAACAGACAACACTACTACAGAACAGTCAGTCTACATCCTAAACTCCGTGTTGGTGGTGTGCGTGTACATACTATACTGCGAGCTGCATGCTGGTGCAGTGGTGGTCCAGCGGATATCGCTGGCTTGAGTGGCTACAGCCTCCGACTAGCTCCGAGCACTCAAGCAAGGTGAAATAGATTCCTTCGCTTTGGTTGTGTAAATGTGGAGGATAGTTGTCACCGACTAAAAATCGTCGAGCAGTTCGAAAGCGACCAGCGATCGCTCGGGGTACAGAAGGCAGGCACTGGTCGTGTCTGTTGCACTGGTGTCCTAGATCCTGGAACAATGGCCCTGGACGGTTCTGATGAGGCGGCAACGGGAGGCTCGCGCGCGTCGGGCGCTGCGATCGACGAGGGAAGATCACCGAGCCAGCAACAGCAGCAGAGACCTGTGATGTCCGTGCGCGTTTTGGCGGAGACGAACGAAGGCAACAGGCCGCACATGGAGGACGTCACGTGTTGCCTTTTCGATCGCAGTCGCCCTGGCGGTCAAGCATTCCTGGCGGTGTTCGACGGGCATGGGGGTCGTCAAGCGGCAGCGTACGCCAAGGAGCACCTTTGGAACAACATGAAGCGGCAGGAAGGTTTCAACTCGGAGGATCACGACCAGGTCGAGGGAGCGATGCGCGAAGCGTTCGCTGTGACACAAAGAGGAATGGAGAAAGTCGTCAGTAAGTACTAGTATGGCATAATGAAGCATCAGTTTTTGAACTAATTCAAAAAATGTGGAAACATTTTTTTATCTTTGGAGAATGGGGGGGGGGGGGGGGGGGGGCAGTGGTGCTTGTGAATAGGGCAGGCAGTGACAACAGTTAGTATTTTCCACAATCAATTCATGATCCCGGAGAAATCGACACTAGTGTCTTGACCCAAACGTGCACATGCTGAACGCATGGCGACAGATTTAAGGGGGAGGGGGTGCGTGCGCCCTGTGCCCCTAGTGGGACATGCACCTGGGTATACACAAGAGTAGATAAACAAGAATGTTTTTGTGCAACTCGAGATGGTGTGGCCCACGGCGGAATTTTTCGTTGACGTCATAATTCTGGAAATCATGAGTCATACCGTACGACGCAACCGCTGTGAGTCTTTGGGAAGTTTGCCTCGTGCACTTGGCTGGGCTTTACATTACAAGGTCGGTGCCCAGCACGTGCTCTCACACTGCTCTGCGGCAACATGCGCGTGCTCTGCATGACACGCGTCGTGTTTTCTGAAAAAAAGGTGACGTCAACGAAAAATCCGGCCGGGACCGGAGTAGCTGCAGATTGCGCAGAGGAGATGTGCAGTTGTACACTCTTGTTCTATTCTATTCATGCTGCACTGTATACAGTACATGTACCAGCATGCACACATGCCTTACACCTACACATAAAGTCATTGGCTGCGACTGGCACACGCGTACGCAGGATCAGTGAATGGATTTCGTAGTTTGCAAGCGGGTGCTGGGTTTTGGCAATGTGAACGCACCACCGAGCTGGGATCGGATTTCTGTTGCCACCAATGTTTGCTGTCCTGAAGTTTCACTGTTTGGTGATAGAGAATGAACTATTATGTGTGTGTGGTACGTGGTATGTGTGTGTGTGTGTATGTGTGTGTGTGCGTATGTGTGTATATATCTGCAGGCACGTGGCCCCGTGCTCGCTATGGTCTGCCCAGCACGTCGGGCACAACGGCCTCGGTGGCAGTACTGCGCGGTCGCGTTCTCTACACGGCCCACCTCGGCGACTCGGGCATCGTACTCGGCCGGCGCAAGTCAGTGGCTGCTGACGATGGTACGCCCTCGGATTGTAGTGGCTCGGGCTCTACATCAACATCATCATCGGTAAGTGCAGGCAGTGGTAGTGCCGGCAACGACGATGATGATCTTGCGAGTAATGCCATTGAAGCGGTGCCACTGACAGTCGATCACAAGCCGGACAGCGAAGCGGAGCGCACGGCCATCGAGGGTCGCGGCGGCAAGGTGCGCAGCGGCACGCGCGGCGTGTCGCGCGTCGTCTGGCGCCGCAAGCGGCCCATCAACGGCCGCACAGTGCTGAACATGGCGCACAGCGAACTGGTGGTGGAGGAGATCCCGTTCCTTGGCGTGGCCCGTTCGCTCGGCGACCTGTGGAGCTACAATCCAGACATCGGGGACTACATTGTGTCGTGCCGGCCAGACGTGACGCATCGCACGCTCACCGTGGACCGGGATCAGTTCATCGTGCTGGCGTCGGACGGCCTGTGGAACGTGATGTCGTCGGACGAGGTCGTGTCCGCCATTGCACGTCACACGATGCGACCGCCGACACCGCCGCCATTGCACTCACCCGAGCGCCGAGAAGAGAGAGCCGTGGACGACGACGACGACGACGACAATGACGGCAGGCAACGGGCGGCGACGGCAGACCCGGCGCAGCTGGACGACGTGTGCCACGTGCTGATACAGGACGCGCTCCACAGCTGGCGTGAGCGCCGTCAGCGCGCCGACAACATCAGCGTGATCGTCGCCTTCTTCAATCCGCCGCTGAGCTCATCCAGTAGCAACAGCAGCTCGGCTCACAGTTCAAGCAGTTGTGCCACATCGTCGTCTGCTCCTGCCCACGTCACGGCAGCAGGGAGAAACGTGGTAGCCTGCTCCGAGAGCAACGGAGACAGTCGGACGACGACGCCGATTCTCGATGAGGCCACAGACCGCGAGCTCCTGCCATCGGATGAGACCGTGGCTGGAGGAGTAGCAGCAGCCGGAGCTGCTGTGTCGGTAGCCGTGAACACGACGGGACTATCTCCTGTGCACAGCACAGCCGCCGCCGCAGCAGCTAGACCGAGAAGTAGAATGGCAACGGCCGAGGCTGGCAGCGTATCGTCATCTGAAGAGTCGTCTTCATCGGGTTCCTCAGGTTCCGACCAGGCAAGCGTGCAGAGCCCACCGGTCTTGCGACGCACCGGACGAGTACAAGCTGCTGATGCCGGCGCACCAACGGAGAGTCCAACAGTGCCGGCGGAGGCTGCCATGGCAACAGCAGTAGCACCGGTTGCTATGGACACGCCGTCCAGCGAGGAGAGCACAGCGGTGCCGCCTCAGCAACAGCGCACAACGCGCTCAAGCACCCGTCGCTCCGGAACCGCTGTCGCAAGAACACCCTCGGGTGGCAGCGGTGGAGGAGCAGTCGCCACGGCTACGACAACCTCCCAGTCTTCGCCGTCGCCGTCACCATCAAGCCGCCGGGCGTCAAAGCGCAAGTCTACGCCGAGCAGCGCCGAAGGGCCCGGCAAGCGCAGCTCTCGCTCGTCCGTGCGCAGTCTGACTGGTGAGCTCGGTGTGGATGCATCCGCCACACCCCTGCAGGAAGACACCGTGTCCTCCTCGGGGGATGATGTGTGAGCGGATAGCGACCTTGTGTGCCACAGCAACTCTGCCAGTCTTGACCGAATCTACACTCTGTAGCTGCCGCTAGCTTGTCACTCAACACAATTCTCGTCATCGAGTACACTGCGTGGATGTCGATGATCAGCTGTGGCTTGTCTTCGGATCTAATTACTGGAATTGGCTTTGATGCTGAGAACGACACTGGGAATGACTAGATTGGATTTCTGACGCTATAGAGTTCGGACCAACTGCAGGTGCGTGGTTTCTGTCCTGTAGTCTCCAGTCCAGCGTCGCAGTGAAATGCACTCTCGCTGCACCGTTGTGCCGTGCACAGGCACGCGAGCGGCCTGCTGTGCTGGGCCTCGTTGCCGCGTGCCGAGTCCCGTGTACTGCAAGCCTGGGGAGATGTGCTGGCGAGGTGTATGTTCCCACTCGCTCACACCACAGTTATGGTCGCGCTCTGGAAGCTTGCGGTTGTCTTACCTGAACCTTTACCGTCTGTAGTGTTAATGAAAGTGTTAATCGGAAAGGTGGATAATCATGCTCCTCGAATTCAATTATATTTGTCGGTGGCTTTGAGAATAATGGAAAGCCGGCCTTTAGTCAACGGATGCTACGTGAGTAGTAAGTGCGACGCAGCATCGGAGTTTCCATGTATTACTCGCAGTAATTAGGCACATCTGGTAAATCTACATGCTCCGTTTCTTCTTGACCCCGAAGCTGTGTCGTAACTGGACGAAGTACTTGGTGACACGCGGCTGATATAAATGATTTTACCCGTATGCACACAGTACGCCTTTTTGCATGGCCAGAATACATCATATTCACAACATCATTCTAGTAGTAGTAGTAGAAGTAGTAGAAGTTACCTTGGACTGATACCGACACTCAGTCAACGTGAACCAACCTGCTCAGAGACGTTCTGTAGATTTTTTCATTTGGAAAACGATGATCTATTTATATCCACCCCGATGATTCAGATTGTGAATATTGGCAGTCTAGTTTTTAACGTTAATAACGACATGATCTTCCTCAAGTTTCTCGACAATGGCCCCTATAACAGTTATTCTTGACCCTCTGCCTGTTTCTCGTCCCTCTAGTGACATGCCGGGCGACACCGGCCCGGTTTTTTTTGCCGTTTTCTTCAAGTTATCGCTCTACATTTCCCCCTTTCTGTACCACTTTAGAATGTGTTTAGTGCAGAGATGTAAACACGTTTCCAGTGTCGTCTGGTTTTGATATACCACGCTCTTTGCTCTGGTGATTTTGTACCTGTGCCGCAGTGTGTCTAGTGGCAAGTACACTGCACTCTTACATGACTCATCCTGAGGGAGTCGAACCCGGTTTGTCCGTACGACTCCGTGATGACTCAGTCATGTAATGCAGTTTTATTCCGGTGCAAGTTTGTTCACTGGTGATCGGATGTGTGATAAAAACAATATTTCGTTTTCGGATTCCGTTCACAGGATGTCAATCCTTGAAGATCTTATTCTGGATACTCTAAGCTCTTCTGAACTAATCCACTCCTACCATTGAATGAGGTTGCGGAGTTTCAGAGTCTAATATTAATAAGCACTCTTCGGAAACACAAAACTCCTCGAATATGGTCCCTGGCCTACACTGCTACAGTCCGCAGTACTAGTACTGTAGGTGGGGAGGGTTCCCCAACTGATCACCGGCCACTGAAGTCTGAAGAGTGAAGTGTAACCGCGACATGAAAGGGCAGAGTATCCCGCTATCAGTTGGCTTGCGCCGTATTCTACCGTAGATCTACGTAGCGGCTAGTTACTGGTTACCTCTGATAAGTGATGTGCTAGCACTGTGTCACAGTGTGTGTGTGTCACTGTGTGTGTGTGTGTGTGTGTGTGTGTGTGTGTGTGTCACTGTGTGTGTGTGTGTGTGTGTGTGTGTGTGTGTGTGTGTGTGTGTGTGTGTGTGTGTGTGTGTGTGTGTGTGTGTGTGTGTGTGTGTGTGTGTGTGTGTGTGTGGTGTGTGTGTGTGTGTGTGTGTGTGGTGTGTGTGTGTGTGTGGTTGAGCGTGCAAAGCCGGCTGCGGAGCAGAAAGGTGCATGCCAGTGTGGAGAGTGTGGCCGTTGGCTGAAGTCCCGTGGAGGTCTGGCAAGGCACAAGTGTACTTACCCCCAGTCAGCAGTCGGTGCGCCCCTAGCCCTGCAGCTGCCTGCTTCTCCGCTGTGCTGCGTCGCTCACTGCCAGGCTTGTGACCGCTTTGCGTCTACACGTGGCCGCGCCCGTCATCGCTGCTCACGGACTTGAAGTCGTCCGACCGTTCAGGACCGTCAGGGTTTCACATGTGTTTGCGCCTGCTCCCGCCGATTTCCCTTACCGCATCACCTGGATCGTCACAGGGCTGTGTGCCCCTCCGGGGCCCACGTAACCTTCATGGCAGTGGCTCAACAGGACAGGACAGGTGTGTGTGTGTGTGTGTGTGTGGTGTGTCTGTTTGTGTGTGTGTGTGTGTGTGTGTGTGTGTGTGTGTGTGTGTGTGTGTGTGTGTGTGTGTGTGTGTGTGTGTGCGTGTGTGTGTGTGGCCCCCCCCCCCCCGCGGGGGGGTGCACATTCAGTGCATTTGCAGATTTGCGTGCTTCTCTTGCGACGGGCGTATGTACATGGTGTGTGTGTGTGTGTGTGCGTGTGTTGAATGAAAAACAAAAAAACTACAACGACAGGATCATATCACGTGAGCATTTGAGCGGTCACGTGTGTGCTGGTGATTACGTAAAGCAGCTAAGCCAAGGAAAAGGAAAGAATGAAAGAGAAGCATTTTTTAGGGTTTTTCATACACCACTGACACGATGACACTGCTGCACGCTGAGACATGATGATCACTGATGATGGTGCATCTGTTTTCCCAATACTTGTTGGACCCACGATAACACCACAGTACCGCGTACCGACCAGTAAATGCTGAAAGACTGATGATAGGACGTCACTTTCCACCAGACGGCACACTTCTTCTCCAAAAAATTAGCAAGTCTTCGAATCTGTTGTTGTGATTTTTGGACGACTTTTGTAGTTTGTTGTGTGTATTGTTACTTTGAACGGTTTCACTGCGATACGTTAGTTTGCTAGTCTTTGTGACCAGCGCAGTGATGATTGCCCCAGCAAGGGTGATTCCAATGGCCGTACGTGGACACATATGTAGACATGTGCAGAAAAGTCGTAGGCTGCTGAGTTCATTGCGACGAGGTGTCGTCGACCCAGGGCAGCAGCGCCTGACTAGAGTGAGCGTCAGTTGCATGGCTGCCGCTGATGGAGCACACGACTCGTGTAAAGGCTCACGGCTATCATCACCAGCAGCAGCAGCACCCTCGCATGTTGACATGATGTGGGATGATGGTCACAGCTGTTCTGTGGATGCCCTCTGGCTCAGGGACCAGTGCATGTGTGCGGATTGTCGACATCCTGACAGTTTGCATAGGAACGTGGACACGTTCAGTCTAACAGACGATCAGCAACATGCGATCAACGCTGAACTCTCCGGCCAGGATCAGGTGTGCGTCACATGGTTGGACGGGCATACGTCTCGTTTTGCCACCGACTGGCTGCGTGTTCATTGTCGCCAGGACTCCCAGATCGGCGGGCGTCCTCTGACCGCGTTGGAGCACGCAGCACCGCGCGAACCCTGGACGGCGACGCAGCTCGAGCGCGACCTGACGCGCGTGAGTCACGACGAGTTCGAGACGGCTGCCGGCCTGAGTCGCACATTGAATGGACTGTGGCGGCATGGCGTGGCACTGCTGAACGACGTGCCGTGCAACGAGGGCGCCACTCGCGCGGTCACCTCGCGCCTCGGCGGCATTGCTCGCACGGTGTACGAGGACCTGTGGCGGACGGCGCCCAACGACGCGGACGGCTCGGACGACCGCGCGTACTCGCGTGCCTACCTCGGCCTGCATACAGACGGTGCGTTCGTTACCCAGCCACCGGCCGTGCAAGTGTTCCACTCGTACATTGCCGGCCAGCCTGTCCGTGACGAACACGCACATGCCGCGAAGAACAAGGAAAACGGCAGTGCTGGAGAGTCCATATTAGCGGACGGCCTCCAAGCTGCCACTCTCCTACGCGAACGCCACCCGGACACTTTTGATTATCTGTGCCGCACGCCGCTGGCGTATCAGTTCTGCACACCAGACGTGCATGGCGGTGCCGGGGGTGGGTTGTTGCACGCGGTAGCGGAGCATCCGGTGTTGCGCTACGACGCGCTCGGCAACTTCCGGCAGGTCTGCTACAACACTCACCACCGCGCACCGCAGCTCTGCAGTCAGGCGCACGAGCTCTACAGACACCTGCGCGTGTTCCACAGCCTGTTGTATAGCGACCAGTCTGTGTTTAGTGTACGCCTGCAGCCCGGTTCGGTGATCCTGGTTGACAATCTCCGTGTGCTGCACGGCAGAACGGCGTTCAGCGGTGATCGTGTGCTCGCCGGCTGTTACCTGAGTTCTGATCAGTATCTGTGTGCGCTAAGGGAACACGTGACGCCAGGCGGTGTTCTCGAACTATCCTAAATGTGTGCGTGTGTGTGTGTGTGTGTGCGTGTGTGTGTGTGTGTGTGTGTGTGTGTGTGTGTATGTGTGCACACTGTGCTTGGTGTGACAGTGTAGAACTGTATGATTTGCTGCTATGCGTCCTGTTTCCGTATCAGACTGTGGAGTGTATTGCACACTTCAGAGGACCTCTCTCTCTCTCTCTCTCTCTCTCTCTCTCTCTCTCTCTCTCTCTCTCTCTCTCTCTCTCTCTCTCTCTCTCTCTCTCTCTCTCTCTCTCTCTCTCTCTCTCTCTCTCTCTCTCTCTCTCTCTCTCTCTCTCTCTCTCTCTCTCTCTTCTCTCTCTCTCTCTCTCTCTCTCTCTCTCTCTCTCTCTCTCTCTCTCTCTCTCTCTCTCTCTCTCTCTCTCTCTCTCTCTCTCTCTCTCTCTCTCTCTCTCTCTCTCTCTCTCTCTCTCTCTCTCTCTCTCTCTCTCTCTCTCTCTCTCTCTCTCTCTCTCTCTCTCTCTCTCTCTCTCTCTCTCTCTCTCTCCCCCCCATCTCTCCCGAGTGAGCTATTTATATTTTCGACTGGATTCCATTTCATAATTATGATTCCAATGTCAGCTAGTATTTACTATTTTCCATACAGGCTGGTCCTGTCCATGACATGATGTACTGGGCGCAAACATTTCTTGCGCCCTTCTCATCTTAATCTTACCGGCATATATTTGTATTGCACCACTAGCACTGGTAAACATGGTCATTATAATATTATACATGAAGTTACTACCTTGGCTTGGCCTGCCATAGATTTCCTGCACAGATTTTCAGCAGCTGGTCGGTCACATAGTGCTGTACATGCTGACAACTTGTCTCCAGTGAACAGACGGTTTTAAATGCGGCGCCAGTCTCAAGACTAGCTGGTTACAATTTATTAAAGAATAATACCGGTAATGCTTCGAAGTTATTTTTTACACCTGTATCCTGTTTCGGAACTATCTGTTTGAGGTGGTTTGTGATGCTCGCTACGAGGATTGGTCTGCCGGATGAAGACAGTCCTGTTGTGTTTGCCCATTGCGAATCACTTCCTATCATTTTAATGACACCATTCTTCGATGTGTTTCGCCATGGGTACCGGTGGTTCATTTAAAATGTAAACAGCATTTGTTTTTCGGGCAAATGAATTTTAACCCCTTTGAAGATTTCTGGAACTCCTCGTCTTCCACAGCATTCATTGCACGCACCCAGGTGGATCAGTACAGACGTGATCACATAATGTTCAGGTTTTTTTCTTTCTAACATTCTTCTCAGCTGCATGCATGGATTACGAATACGAGTAAACCGGTCGTAGGGTGCTCCCTGGAGATCCCAAAAGTCATGCAGAAGTACATCTCCAATCTGCTGGCCCCGACACATTGTGCCTCAGCACACTTCGTCGGAACCCAATCACTCTATGCATGCAGTCAACTCCTGATATAAGAAACACCACGGCGCATGAGATGTTCAGTTCTTTCCGTAGCTGAAGTTCTTTATAACCAAAAATGCACTCCCAATACAAGCAACATCATGGTCACGAATGCCATCTGGCCCATGACTGCATGAGTGCAGTTGGTTTACATGCGGCCCCACACGTATGGTTCGTAATAAACGACAGTGGTTCGCTACGAAGGGTCAATTTTGTATAGATTCAAACAGGGACATGGGCAATGGTTCGCGATGGCACGGAATTCACTATGCGAGTTCGTTAGAAGTGGAGTCGACTGTATTTGACCTTGCAGGGTATGGCCACTATCGTACTCGACTGTACCTGCCCTGACAGCCGTCGTCGTTCAAGCAGCTATCGGCCGGTATAACTACATGATTGTAGTACCGGTACCAAGAGCAAATAACCTCCCGGAGCTAACATTGACTATAGAACACTCACTGGTTCTTAGAGATCGCGAACATTTAGTGGTGCGAATACTCGGCGGTTACTGGGCGGTTTACACAATGAGAACATGTAACACATTCCGATAGCAGTATCCGCAAAGCCGAGGGCTGACATGCCGTAGTCACCACTCCAAATAAGAATTAGGGATCATTTCCCAGTATCGCAGGCTGTAGGCTACTAGCGCGCAGGTCTGGTGGCTGCACCCACCACCACCCCAGCGACGGCGGTTCTGTAATTCAGCACCCACTACTTATAGGATTATAATTGAAAGCGAGGTGGACCGATCTTGTTGGACATGGCTGATCCACATTGCCACGATATGTCCGCTGGCCATGGCACACGCACACATACACACTCATGCACACACATACACACACACACACACACACACACACACATCAACACCTCATTCTTTCGAACCATGGTCAATCTTGTATTATATGTACAGCGGAGGGAAATACACACAAGGTGATGGAAAAGCAAAGCAAAATTCATCAGCTTTCATGAAACAAGACAACACGAACACGCATGCACACATACACACGCACACACACACACGGACACACACACTCACACACGCACCAGTCGTGCATTTGGCAGTTGACATGTCTTGGGGATCACAGTTAAAACGGGCGCTCTTCAGCGACACACACACACACGTATCTACTGAACGTATTTCGACATGAATTTCTTGTGGAACTCGGAGCGGAGAGTGTCATTGATGAATGTCCCATCCTTGTTCTTTCCGTCGTCTTTAGCGCAGTTCTTGAAAACAACGTCGTCATCCCAGCGTCGCTTTACCTTCATATTACCACCTCCTTGCAAGTTGAGAAGAGGGTTGCCGCTGAGAATCGTTTCGGTCCGTATTCTTTCATCCTCCACACGCTTCTGTTCCTCCTTTCTGGCTGCTTCAGCCGCTCGCTCTCGCTTGATCTTCTGCAACTCCGCCAGAAGCTCTGTCGCATCGTCATCGCTCTCGTCGCTGTCCGAGTCATCGGTGTCGTCGTCATCTTTGTCGTCAGCATCCAGGTTGCCCGTGTCTGCCAGTCTTGGTCGTTTGCTCGGTGGCTGATGGGATGTCGAGGCTGCGAGAGCAACGTCGGCACCGCGAACACCACGGTCCTTCGTCGAGCCGCGTTCTCTGGTCTCCAGCTCGCGGCGGAAGTCCTGGCCACGCAGCTCGGCTGATGTGTTCTGTCCAGTCTGTCTGTACTTGAGTTTCGTGTGGCCAGGCAAGTCACGACTGGAATACTGCTTGGACAGGGCCGACAGATCTCCCTCTCCGCCTTCACCTCTACCGCGGCCACCCTGCGCGGGGTTGAACGTGGGACGGGCGGCAGTCGTCATGCTGCCCTCTGCAAGTCCACCAGCTTAGTATTTCAGCAACCAAGAGAAACCCCAAAACTACCAAAGCTGTTCGTCTTCGAAAGCTGCTTGATCTTGATGTTACTGTTTCCCTGCTTTTTCAAGAGCACGAAAAATCAGGGGTGATTTCGATGATTTCGATGATTAACTTTTTGGATGAGATCACCACCACTTATGTTGCCAGGGGAACCCGAATGGCGGCAAAATGCAGTGGTGACAAAAACGACGACGCTGAAATCATTATTTTTATGGTTTCATCTTGACTTGAGTCTTTTTGTAGCTTTGTGGAGAAGACGTACAGTGAGTACAGATCCTGCCATGCCCATTAGTCATGGCCCAAATTTGCTCGGCCTACATCGATATTTTGCCGCACAATTTTGCCACAAATTTTTCGATATTCTGCTTGGCATTTCCTTTCTCCGTCGATATTTTGCTTTGGTTTTGCTCGAGATGAACCCTGTAAGAAGGCCTTAGGCCTGTGGGGATTGCCCTATCAAAAATTTGATAATAATAATAAATAATAATAATGAAATGAGTTTAGGGAAAACTCAAGGATAATTGTCGCTGATGACGACGATATGTTTGATTGAGCTCTTGCTGCTGCTCACCATTCCACTGAAATGTAGCCATGAGTCTGTTTTCTACAACTTTTGTGCTTGTTTTCAACCTTGGTGACTGATTGTGTTGAGGAAGTCCCTAAGAAGCCTTGGATTTTTCGAAAAGCCCACCAAAACTCGATATTTTGCTCAAAACTTGCCGGAAACTTGCGCATCCGATATTTTGCTCAAAGATTTGCTAGCAAATTTGGGCTATGACTAATGCCCATGTGTGTTCTTTGCTGCACATGTACGTAGACTCTATACCTGAGAGCTGAGAGTTTGGGCCAAGTAACGTTTGTTGAGGTTTATCGACGTCGGGTGGTCTCCTTGGCACTGGAAGTGCATTCGTGAGGCCCAGTACTGTTTGGCATCTAAAATTGGCGATCATAAATCGCCGGAAGAATTCGCTACAACCCGCAAGTAACCCTTCTTCGTTCATTTTTGCTTTGCCGTCCTTTGCATTCACTACCACGATGCCGGTAAGTATGCTCGGTCTGTTGTTTGAATGGTTCAATGGCCACCAGTAGAAAAGAACTGGTTGCTTGTGATCCTTGTTGCTGCGCAGAAAAAGTCAGGCAAAGGCAAGGAGAAGAAGATGAAGCGAAAGGAGGTAGGTTGTCAAGAGCATCTGTGCGTGAGTCCCATTACAGTGACTGACCGACTTCAAATTCAGTAGAACCTGTATTTAGCGACCAGTAAAAGCAGAGACTACTGCGTTTTAGAGGTCAGTGGGCTCGGGCACCTACATTGTACGCTCAGCGAGTGACGGGAGAGTGTTTGCCTCAACACAGTCTGAGCATTACAGTCAAACCTCTTTAGGACGAACACTGATAAGGCGAACTTCCCATTGGTACGAACTAGGGCCAATCCTATGGTTGGCCAGGCATCAAATCAAGCCAAAAATCATTCTTTTACGCCAAACTCCTGTACGGCGAACTTTGGCGAAGACAAACTATTTTCAAGCGTGGTTTGAACAAAAGTCAGCGTGTAGTACGAACTTTCGGTCCACGTGCGTGCGCTGGCTTAGGTTTTACGTACAGTTCAACATTCACTCCACACAACAACGGATCACGGTTGGTATTTTTTGGAGGGGTTTCATGTGCCCGAAATTTATTAATCATTCGAATCAAATTTTGAAACATCTGAGAGCAAAGTGATACTGTTCCAAGGCAATGATCAGGGAACAAGGGAATAGTGATAAGGTGAGAAACATTTTGAAGTCGTGGGCCGCGGTCACCCTGGGCAACCCGGTGCCCGGCCACCTCTGGGGGCATTTTGCGATGACAAGCCGGTGTCATGTGTTTGCCCGAAGCTGCGGGCAGGCGATTGACCGCCAACCCCACATGCCTCCATGTGTACCAGTAATACTTGTACAGTGGGAGTGGAGGGTGGGGAAAACAAATTGTTGGTCAGCAATGACACACTCAGTTGCAGCACTTTCACCGGAAAGGGAACCTGGCATTTGTTGTCACACTAACTTGATTTTTTTTCTGTTTCTTATTCTAATTATTGTTATTTTTGCGGGTTCGTTTACTGGTTGCCATGGCGCCTTTGGCTTGTTGGTTTCGTGAATGTTAACTACGGTTTGCAATGTGCAAACCTCCATTTCAACATTCACTCCACACAACAACGGATCACGGTTGGTATTTTTTGGAGGGGTTTCATGTGCCCGAAATTTATTAATCATTCGAATCAAATTTTGAAACATCTGAGAGCAAAGTGATACTGTTCCAAGGCAATGATCAGGGAACAAGGGAATAGTGATAAGGTGAGAAACATTTTGAAGTCGTGGGCCGCGGTCACCCTGGGCAACCCGGTGCCCGGCCACCTCTGGGGGCATTTTGCGATGACAACCCGGTGTCATGTGTTTGCCCGAAGCTGCGGGCAGGCGATTGACCGCCAACCCCACATGCCTCCAAGAAAGGGAGTGGGTGGCCGCGGACGCAGGGCCGTGACTTGAATGCAACTTAGGCACATGAACCCCGTGAAGCTTCGAACTGCTCTCTACGCTAGCTCTGTCTGCTGATAAGCTGGCATGCCCGACGGGACACGGACGTACGCCTTGTACGCAGAGCTTGACCAGCGCCCTGCCGCTTGAATTTGCCACTCCGGGGCCTGTCGTTCGGCCATGGCCGTAGCACCACCGATCCGCAGAGAATGGCTTGAAACGCCTGGGCCGAGAGCCCTCTTGAGAATGGCGTTCACGTCGCCCGGGGTTAGGTAGCGCCCCTCGCGGAAGGCGAAGAATGGGGCACCTGTATCCGCCCACTCCCTGGCACTTATGTAGGCAGCGACTGAACGCACAGGGCAGGTTGCGGGATACCTGCTTGCATGCAGTAACACTGTGCCCCCAGCGCCCGACTGTGCCGTCTTCGTTACCCCTAGGGTGATCGTGACCTTCTCCTCTGAGAGGGCGACATGGCTCCTCTGAAGAGTCCTGTGAGCATCCACCGTTGTTGGTGATGGCGCCGTGTACTCGCTCACACGCATGAGCTCGTGGAAAGCTGTGAGTACTGCTGCCCAGAGCATGGCCTTGTCTTGCGGTGCATAATGCGAGAACTCCAGGAATTCGCGGATAGCCTTGAGGTCGTTGGGTGTCACCGCACGTCTGGATGACGGAGGCACAGGCATTGGCCTGGACGTCAGCTTGTCACGGTCGATGCCCTTCAGCAAGGCCAGTATCCTGGGTGCTCTGAGCAGATCCACCGGACCATCATTCAATACAAAGTGGTGGCGGACGGCTGCTAGGTATACCCTGATTGTCTTCCCAGACAGTGACGCGGACAGTGACGTCATGAAGAGAACTATATCATTGACCGTCGGTGCCAGATGGCTGAAGCGGAGCTGCTGCGCAAACTGAATGTAGGACCTGACTCCAGGGCTGTAGGTCTGGCGTGTCCGGGGCGCCACCGATTGGGCCAGGAGCCTGCTGGCTTGAGCGTCGAGTATCTCCCTCCTGGTGGTGGCTGGAGGTGAATGATATCGAACCCACCCATCTGCAATGTGGGGACACGGCAGCAGCACCAAACGCAGTGGATAATAAAATAAGCAAGCAGTTAAGCCAGTACGAAGAGCAAAACATGACAGACCATCGCATCGCTGTGCCCAGCTACAATGACTTTGAAGGCAAACTAACTGGCTGCTTGCAATACGTATTTATTTACCGAAGCATCCCGGTATTAATGCGCCGGTTTGGACGCATTTGAGCATCCCGGTGCTCGCCTCACAATCATCAGCGTCCGTCGCCAGTTTGCGTATTTAGAGCATCTTGGTGCCAGCTATACTAAATATGGGCATTTTAGGTATCCCTTTCGCTACCTGCCCATCCTCTTGGGCATCCCGGTGCCGGACTTATTATTACGTCTAACCCGGTGTCCGTCCAGGTGTGATAAGCATCCCGGTGCTCCCTTACCGCTTAATTCATATGGGCATCCCGGTGCCCGCTTGACTAACAATTATAGGCATCCCGGTGCCCCTTACAACGCAACCCGCTCACATATGCATCCCGGTGCTCTCCTTAGTATTGTTACGCGCAACCCGGTGCCCGTCTGGGTGTTAAAGCATCCCGGTGCTCGCTTATGGCTGTGGGCAACTTGGCCCCATACTGCTTGTTTTAGTTCCGCGCAATTAAATGTGAATTGCCGTAAACAGTTAAGAATGCATCACTTAGCCTCGCATCAAGCCCAGGGTGTAACGTGTACGCATCCACGCTAAGGCCATCTTGATGCCGGCCCACATAATTATCGCTCGCATAGGCATCCCGGTGCCAGTCTGAGTGCAATGAGCATCCCAGTACTCAACTTAATACCCTGACATAGGGGCATAGCTATACCACGATGCCAAAACGCCTATGACCGTTGAGAGCCAATTTTTGGTTTTTGCAGGATTGCACTATATGAGCACTGCATAGCCACTTCCTTCCAAAAGAGAGCAGCGAAGCGGGGGGGGGGGGGGGGGGGGGGCAGTGTAGGGAGGAGAGCCGCCCGTGCTAAAGGGTGGGCGAATAGTAAGGGAGAGATTGAACTGAGAAATTGGTTTCGGTGTAGTTGGTATGGCAGAAAAAAATAACAATAAGTCAGTGTAGTGACGGCGAAGGCCAGACACAGCAAAACGGACACCCCAAGGGGCTGTGAATATATTGTGAGACATCATTAGACGATCTGAGTTGGCAGTGGAACTGGGTCCAGATTGGCAGACGGAGCTGGCGAGCGGAAGCGACTGAGCTGTAGACGGGAGAGGGCGTCCGCAATACTGTTGTCGATACCTGAGATGTGACGGATCAACAGGATGAAGTTGTAGCGTGCCGCAATACGCAGGGTGGTCCGTATGAGGTTCATGACCTCCAGATTCCGGCATGAGCCGGATTCCCATGCTGTGGCGACAGCTTGATTGTCGCAATGGAGGAGGATCTTCTTCGTCTGCCACTGCGGGCCCCACAATTGCGCGGCCACAGCAATGGGATACATCTCTCGCCACATGATAGAGGAGAAAGGGCCGTGCTGGTGCTCCGGGCCCCATTCTTGGCAAAACCAGGCACTCTGAAAGAAACCTCCAAATCCCAGGCCGGAAGCATCGGTATAGAGCTCAAAGTCTGGGGGCTTCGACCATACTGGGTCACGCAGAAGCGCTCGGCCGTTCCAGTGTGGGAGGAACTCCTTCCACCAACGGATGTCTGCTTGAGCATCGGCGTCCAGGTGCACTTCTTCATCCAAGCCTGTCACGGTGGTGCTGGTATGGATGAGACGACGGGTGAAGGTGCGGCCGGCCGCAACCACTTTGGACGCAAATGAGAGGAGGCCAATTAGTGACAACAGTTGACGTTTCGTGCACGATGGGCTGACCGCCCACTCGTTGAGCCGCGCTTTGATCTCGAGAAGCTTGTCGGCCGGCAGCCGCATTTCCAGAGCCTGAGTATCCAGCTCAATGCCGAGCACTGTCATGACCGTGGCCGGACCGACAACCTTGTCTGCTCCTTCCGCGATGGGAACCCCGAGGTTGGCGAAAACCTCCAGGATGGTGGCCATGTGCACCGCTGCTGTTGATGTGGCGACCACCGGCGCTGGTGGTGAGACGTTGATGAAATCGTCAAGGTAGTGTTCCAGACACTTCAAACCGTAGTTGTGGCGAAGTAGCCAGGCCAGTGCTTCGGCTAGGCGGTTGAATAAAGCTGGTGCGGAGCGCAGGCCGAAAGGCAGCACTTTGTCGACATAAAACTTCCCCCGCCAACATATTCCGAGTAGAGGCCAGTCGTTGGGATGAACGGGACAGAGCCGGAATGCATGCTTGATGTCCACTTTGCATAGCAATGCCCCCTTCCCAGTGCGCATGACATGATCGGCCACCGTATCCACCGAGATCATTTGGAAGGAGAAGTCTGAGTTCTTGATGCCATCATTTATGCTCCTGCCAGCAGGAGCGGAGAGGTGCATGATTAGGCGGACGCCACCCGACTTCTTAGGTACAACTCCAATGCCAGAGGTGTGAATGGGGAGAACAGGAGGCTCCTCAAACGGGCCAGCCGTATGCCCGCGCTCACATTCCTGGTGGAGATAGTCATCGACTACTTCTACATTGTCAGCAGCGGAGGACAAATTACGTGACAAAAAAAGACTCAGACAGACAGTTGCCAAAACCAATGCGAAAACCAAATTCAAGATCATGCAATAAGGAAGCGACCAACTGGTCATCGGGGTGTGATTCTAATTCTATTTTAAGTGCGCTAATAATGATGGGCGTGTGGGGTTTATGTGCAGATAAAGGAAGATAGGAGGAAGGAGTACTCATGGAGCTACTTGCGGGCTGGGCATTCCTTGGCCGGGTGGGTGCCCGAGCAGAAGGAGCAGCAGTGCTTAAAGCGGCATTGATTAAAGGAGCAGTTGCCCGCATTAAACTTGCGGCAGATGGTGGACTGCCCGGGCGTGCGGACACTTCCTCCGCTTGTTGCGCCCGAGGTGGCATGCAGCGTCCGGCTGTCGGAGCCACGAAAAAGACAATTGTTGGCCAGGTGGCCCACCTTCCGGCACTTGGAACACGTGGGAAGTGCCTGGCCCGTGAAACATTCAGTGTACAGCGCCGTGTCAAGTGATGAAAGGGGGGTGCGTGCCCGAGCCACCGATTGCCGCACCCGGATGTCGTACTCAAGCACCGCAGCCAGGCGGTACTTCGCTGCGGCTTGCACAATGCGTAGCTGGTGTTCTGCCAAGCTAGCAGCGCAGGCCGGGTCGTTAGAGGTAGCTATAATCGTGAAGATGGACCATGCTTCCAGCCACGAAGCTAAAGAATCAATTCGCCTCTTGGAGGCTTGAGAGGCGGAGATCACCAAGCAATCGCCGTCCTCGGCTAATTTGACCCGCTTAGAGATAGGCTGATCATCGGAGGGCCTCTCGTACTTGGCGGGAAGTAGGAGGGCCAGATCAAAAAACTCGACCTTGCAAATTTTTGAAATGGCTTCATTACTTACATGGCATACGCATGCAGGGAATGCAGGGAATGCGGGGGCAGAATCTAAACTGGCCGGCATCTCAGCACGGGCAGAATCATGAGTCAAAAACATACCGGCTTGATCTGATGGCCCATCAGACGCTCCCCTATCCGGTCCTCGAGATGCGGAGTGGGCCGACAACGCCGACGAGACCGAAGCCGAAATCATCTCCGCAAGAGACCGCTGCTGGTCAGGAGTGAAGGCCATGATGAAACTGGCAGTACGTTCCTAGGAATACGGCTGTGGAAAGACTACTATGCTCCTCGGCAACTGAGGAGGCTAGAGGAAACGACTGGAACAAGTGAAAACAAATTGTTGGTCAGCAATGACACACTCAGTTGCAGCACTTTCACCGGAAAGGGGAACCCGCTGGCTTAGGTTTTACGTACAGTAAAACTGTAGCTACTTGTGGCGGGGGTTGTACGGTGGGTGGTGGGTTCGAGCCATAGCCAGGTGCCAATGTTGAAAAAGAAGGATCCACGAGTGGGATTCGAACCCAGCACCCCTGTCTTTCCGGGACAGTGCCCCACCGATTAGGCTACCGGGGATCACACATACCCGTGGCTCCTTCTTGCTACACAAGTGGGTCCAGTGTTGCTAGGCTTTTGCCGTTTGCCTGTTTTGGATTTGCCACTACCGTAAAGTACCGCCAGAGCGCCCCGTCTCGCGAGAGCGCCCCACCTTGATTTTACGGCCAGGGAAAGAAAAATATAATGGCAGAGTGCAACGAAGTTTGTACGGTGTGGGAACCTTAGTGTACTAAGATAACACAAAGCAGGTTTTGTGTGGAGCTCGTGTCCACTGGAAGGTACGGCTTGTCTGCAGAACGTGCAGTATGTGTACAAAGTTCGTGTCGTATGACCTACAGACAGGAGACCACCTCCACAATACGACCACGAAAGGACGATATTTTGGGGCGCTCTGGCGGTACTTTACGGTATAAATAAAGAATACAACGACAACGGCATTGCCACACGGCGATCGGCATCTAAAAAGCGTGTGCATCTGTGTGGTGTGTGTGTGTGCATCTGTGTGGTGTGTGTGTGTGTGTGTGTGTGTGTGTGTGTGTGTGTGTCAGGTGTGCATTGGTGGTCGATTGACTCGATTCACATGGCTTCGCAGGTTGTTTGGATTGGCCAGTTATCTGGCGCAAGTCTTGATCTGTCTCATTCAGACCTTGTCCACTATTGTTGCTATAAGAGATAGTCCGTGGGTGCACATCAAATGCATTTGCAGATTTGCGTGCTTCTCTTGCGACGGCCCTATACATAGACATGGTGTGTGTATGTCTGTCTGTCTGTGCGTCTGCATTCTCAGGAGGCGGCCAAGGTTGCTGTGGCTATGGCAGCCGTGACCAAGGCTAACCAGGTGAGGAGGGTCAGCAGCAGAATCCTAATACTGTAAAAGCAGAAATTTTCGGTGGTGTTTTATTTTCGGTAACTTCGGTGCCGACAATTTTTACCAAAAATAAAACGCACCGAAAATTTCGGTACAACCGATATTGTATACATGTAGTACTAGTACACTTACCTGGAGAACGGGTTTTACCGAAAATTTCCCTCTACCGAACCGCCGATTTTGGAGAATACCGAAAATATTACACCACCGAAAATTTCTGCTTTTGCATTAGCACAACCGCCCCACGGGCTGGTGGTCCTGATGCCAGAGCATGTTCTGAACTAAAAAAAGAGAGAAAAAAACGTTCACGGTTCGCGCGAGACTCGGCTGTACAGGAGGCCGAATTTTCCGCTTCCGCAGGGACGCCACCACCTTCAAAGAGAAGGCGCTCAACACACTGTAATTTCCTATCATAATAATTATCATTATCAACAGGGGTGTAGCAGCCGGTCCGGCTTTGGCCGAACCAGTTTTTCGGCCAGAAGTGCCCAGAATGCAGGATGTTGCACCCTAATTTAAAAAATGTTCCTGGGGGGACACCCCGCACCCCCCCCCCCCCCCCTCCGGCCGGACCACTTCCAATGACAGTGCTACACACCTTTTATCAGTTTATCACCAGCCAGCACTTGAGAAGTGTAGCCATGAGATAGTGGAGTGCTATGCAATGACATCATCAGACTGTGTTTCTGCTTGGATGCCGTACTGGAACTACAGTAATCGGGGAAATGTTTGCCCCGGTTTTAGTTCGCGATTTGCGTGCACAGACTGATTTGCACCTGGACATATTTGCGGTGTGTGTGTATGTGTCACTGTGTATGTGTCACTGTGTATGTGTCACTGTGTATGTGTCACTGTGTGTGTGTCACTGTGTGTAGTGAAGCTTATATCAGATCCACTCTGATTTAGCCACCCACACTAGTAGCAAGTATTACCTTCACTGGGGGCAGGGGTTCTGCAGTTGGATCCCAGGACGGATACCCTGATGCCGTCAATCCTTTTTCTGCACCTTGTCCTCACCCACTTACTGAGGTGTGGTGAGCCCATAAGTGGGATCATTTTCAAGTCCACCCAGAGTTTTGGGGATTTCAGGGGGTGTCGGCCGTTGGGCGGTTCAATAGCCAATTGAGTCATCTTTCCAAGATTCCTTTTGAGTCTCTCTCCTCTCTCCCGGGGAGACCCACGTGACCAGTTTTGGCAGTGAGCAACAAGTACAAGTGTGTGTGTGTGTGTGTGTGTGTGTGTGTGTGTGTGTGTGTGTGTGTGTGTGTGTGTGTGAATTTGTTTTGTTTTTCTGGACGATTTGGCGTTGGTCTGGGTGTAGATAGAGAAGCCAATGGAGAGCTTGGTGGCTTTCTCCTCCTTCAATCGAAATGGGTAAGTACTGCGTCGCATTCCCCATAATGTCAAGTGTGTGTGTGTGTGTGGTGTGTGTGTGTGTGTGTGTGTGTGTGTGTGTGTGTCGCTATTGCTATCATCGCTTCTGCGATGGGCATGTCTGAGGTCTGAGGTGTGTGTGTGTGTGTGTGTGTGCGTGTGTGTGTGTCTCTCTCTCTCTCTCTCTCTCTCTCTCTCTCTCTCTCTCTCTCTCTCTCTCTCTCTCTCTCTCTCTCTCTCTCTCTCTCTCACTCACTCTCTCTCGCTCCTTGTCTAATATGTGCACACAGTTATTTTCCCTGGTTCCTGGTTTTAATGGTGGAGACAGTCAAGTTTTCTTCGGACTTTTCCCTTTTCAAAGTAATACATTTGAGTGTGTGTTTGTGTATGTGTCTCTCTCTCCTTCGCCAGAGTAAATGTCTCAGTGGAGTGTCTCCGTAGTACAGCCATGAGTGCTGAGGACAAGGACTGGGCGTACACACTGACACGCGACAACATGAAGGACACGTAAGTTTTCACACACCCCGCGCTGTGCGACATTCTACTATGCTCAGAGTGCTATCCAGCAACGCGCTCGTGCGTGTGTGTGTGTGTGTGTCTCTCTCTCTCTCGAAGCCGGATGTGGGACGAACACATCACCAACGAAGAGCTGCTGGTGCGCTGGGGAGACTCCGAGATGATTAAAGACAAGATTGCACATCGGATGTTGGAGTGGTTGGGGCATGTGGCGCGGATGCCGGACAACCGCATCCCGAAACAGGTACTGTTTGGCTCCTTCTTGCAGCGTCGCCCAGCACATGGCCCATGCCGCAGATGGAAGGACTGTGCTGTCCGGGATCTACGTGCCCGTGGCGTGGAGGCATCATGGTATGATGTTGCATGTGAGTCCCGCGCGGAGTGGCGCAGCACCTACCAAGAGCCTGACAATGCGCCTGAGCCTCCGCCCCGAGTGGTATGTACGGTATACGGACGGGATTTTGCACGGAAAGGAGACATGGCTCGGCATAAGTGTCTGGAGGAGCGTGCGCGGCCTGTGTCTGAGCAGCGGGGCGCCAGTCAGTGTGGGCGGTGGCTGAGAAGCCGCGGTGGCTTGGTCCGGCATGTGTGTGCCGCAACGGTGGATGCCACAGTGCCACCTGGAGCTACCGGAACGTCGGCACCGGCGGAGGGATGTTGTGCCGCGCATTGTGACAGGTGTGGTCGCTGCTTTCGCGGTGTCCGGGGACGGGGCAGGCATCGCTGTTCAAGGGTGGCGCATAGACCAACAGCAGAGGAGCGCTCAGCCTTCCAGCACGTGTGCATATCCGGCAAGCGGATGCGACTACCCGTGCACCTGGAGCGTCATCGGGCGTCGTGTCCTCTCTCTCTTTCTTCTCAAGTTTCCCAGTGGTGGGATCACGTGACCCTTTTGCGCCAGTGACTCTACAGGACAGGTGTGTGTGTGTGTGTGTGTGTGTGTGTGTGTGTGTGTGTGTGTGTGTGTGTGTGTGTGTATCCTTAGCTGTTGAATGGTGCCATCCCAGCACAAACTGCCATGGCTTCTGCTGTAGCATCACTATCATCGCCTCTGGCGATGGGCGTCAAATGGTCAAATGGTGTATCCTTGTGAACGTGAGAAAGAGTGAGGACTTGAGAAAGAGTGAGGACTTGAGAAAGAGTGAGGACTTGAGAAAGAGTGAGGACTTGAGAAAGAGTGAGGACTTGAGAAAGAGTGAGGACTTGAGAAAGGGTGAGGACTTGAGAAAGGGTGAGGACTTGAGAAAGAGTGAGGACTTGAGAAAGAGCGAGGACTTAAGAAAGAGTGTGAACTTGAGAAAGGGTGAGGACTTGAGAAAGGGTGAGGACTTGAGAAAGGGTGAGGACTTGAGAAAGAGTGAGGACTTGAGAAAGGGTGAGGACTTGAGAAAGAGTGAGGACTTGAGAAAGAGTGAGGACTTGAGAAAGGGTGAGGACTTGAGAAAGAGTGAGGACTTGAGAAAGGGTGAGGACTTGAGAAAGGGTGAGGACTTGAGAAAGGGTGAGGACTTGAGAAAGGGTGAGGACTTGAGAAAGAGTGAGGACTTGAGAAAGAGTGAGGACTTGAGAAAGAGTGAGGACTTGAGTGGCTGTGTGAAATAACACAGTCCTACTGTGACTACTGTCGCAGGTCACACGACTCTAGTCTTGTTCTCACCCGGGTGACCACCACTACGTGTTGAGTTTCACGATTAGCATTACACATATAACTATGGCTGCTCTTCTCAGTTCGTCAATCTTCCATTGCTCGCTCACCTTAGAAGTTAGCTGTTGAAGCTCGTGTCGCCGTTTGAGTCAGGGATTGTGTTAATCCGCTTTCTTCGTGTGACCGGTTATTCGTGAAAATCGTGTAATCTGCGTGTTGTACTGTGTCGGTGGGTGTTGCATGCTCCCTACAGCTATGATCTCGTACTGTAGCACCACCACCCTCAGTGCGTTTACGTTGTTTGAACTAAACTGCCTGCCCGTGCTCTGTACTCTGTGTGTGTATAATCCTGGTCTGTGTGTGTGTGTGTGTGTGTGTGTGTGTGTGTGTGTGTGTGTGTTCGTGTATGTGTGTGTATGTGTATAGTCCTGGTGCATAGCGATGTGTAGCTGTTCTTCTGGAGACCGTGTTGCTGTTTGAAAAGGTCCGCTTTCGCTTTGTCAGCGTTCGTGCGGGGATTGCAGTTATTATCCGTGGGCTTTCCCCTTCTGGCTCCTCTGCTCGTGTGCGTACGCCCACTGATGTTGCTGTAGCCGGTATTGCGATATTGCACGCGCTCTGGGCGTTCAAGATAGGGTTTTGTTTGTTGAAGGCTGTCACCAGCTGTGCAACGAGGATTGTCTTGCTCAGCCTCTAAGGGCCCGGTCACACATGAACTGGGATTCGCTTCGGCGACGAGGTTCGGCGGCAGCGAGCCTGGTGTCGTTCCAGAGAAACCATGTGTGCATGGTCACACATACAAACAGGGCAAACTCCTACTTTGGCGGAAAATGAGAGTAAAGTGGACTGTGGTGCATACAGTACGGAGAATGGACGAGGTCAATGACTATCTTGCACGTATTTTCGGTGCATGGACATCATACGCATACAAATTTCTCGTAGCAAGTCCATATACAGCAGACCGTGGTGTTTTCCGCTGAAGCGAATCAGCAGAAGCGACAGTCTCGCTTCGAAAATTTTGGCGGAAGCGGATTGGAGTTTCCGCTGAAGCGGAAGTTCCGCTTTTCGCCGTTGCCATGCCATTTTTCGCTCCTGCGACCTCGCTTCAGCGTATACGCTACTTTCGAGTGCATGTGTGACCGGGCCCTAACTCACCCTGCTGATGGGCCATGACCAAAAATCCGGTGAACCTGAGGTGTCATCTGCGGCGGAGGGACCGTATTTGTGTGTCTGGATTGAAGAAAAGTAATGTGCAACTGATTGCAGTGGAGTTTGCGAATGCTTAGAAAGGTTCAAGCTCTAACTCAAACTGGTTGAAATGCACACGGGGAGATATCTGTAGATGATGCATGGCCCGGTTTCATTGTACATTTGTACGTCGCTATTAAAGTAGGTCAGTTGTCCTTGACTGGTGTGGAATCTATGGTACTCTTGAAAGTCACACGAACAGTGCTGGTAAGGTTTGGCTCTGGAAGCTACTCTAGTGCAAACGCAACGTCCGTCATTCCACTGCCAACAGTGTGTTGCTGCCATCCTAGTGTCATTCCACTGCCAACACACAGTGTGTTGCTGCCATCCTAGTGTCATTCCACTGCCAACACACAGTGTGTTGCTGCCATCCTAGTACACCTAGCCCTACACTCTGTGTGTTCTGTTCTGCTGCATTATACCGTATTCGATAGCAATACTTCTGTTAGTACACAAGGTAGATAATTATTGTGTGTGTGTACGTGTATGTGTGTGTGTGTACATGTATGTGTGTGTACGTGTGTACGTGTGCACATATGTGTATGTATGTGCGGTTGTGTGCATGTGTGTGTTTTAGGTACGTATCCTGCGGCTGGGGCTGGAATGATCACGACAAGAGAGACGAGATCTTCGACGAGCGCGCCTGGTATGTCTTTTGTGCTGCGTGTGTACGTGCCTGCGCGCGCGCGCGTGTGTGTGTGTACATGTAATGTGATAGCACGCAATCATAGTGGATATGAGACTTAACCTGATACAGCACCGACTTAGTAATTTGTGGTCTCAACTGGAAATGTGTGTGTAAGGGGTAGGATTGCTCTGGGAAAAGTCTTCCATTTAGTATCCATTCACAATAAATGTATCACTTTTTGCGACACGATGTGCGATACTTGCGACAACTAAACAATGCCTGTCTCAAACTGTCGCAAGCAGCAGGACGACCACTGTTTCAGAAGATGACCGGAGTTTAACTTTTACGACACATGCGGCGTACTTCAATGGAGTGCAGTTGCATGCATGTAGCGTGCGCGTGCACGCACTGTGCACTGCATGTAGATGTCGCAGAAGGAAAAAAAACCCGTGGATCATGTGTCGCAGTTGCAGCTCGTCGCAAGTCGCACATCGCATTGCAAAAACTGGTTCTGTAAGAGTTGAAAGTGTAAAGAGTCTTAAAGTTTAACAGGTTGCTCATTGTTTCCACTTTGCGGGCACAAAGTTTAACGACGCCTGCCATCGGACGTCCGCCCTGTTTTGCTCTAGCACAGATTAGAGAGGGACTAGTTTTACTTGTAGGTAACGTTCCTTAGGGGTCGTCGCAAAAGCTTTTTTGTCGTCCCTGAAACGAACATCATTCATTGGGGTCCTTAGGTTAGCTATGGATTGTGAATTTTTGGGTAAAATGTAGAAGCGTGCAGCTTTGAAAGGAAAGTTACTGAAAAAAGATTTAAAATCTCGATTTGTAAGTATGGCAGCATGCTTTTTACAAATGTTATTCAAATCGTTTCGTAATCGATTGGATATTTGCTGAGAATTCAGTTTCGTCATTGCAAGATGAGAACGAAAACTTATAGAACTTCTTATCAGAAAGTTGTCTATAACACCCAGCAGAGCAATCTACTGAACTTAAAATAACTGTAGCTAAGTTTTTATCAGCTTGGCAGATTTTAATATCTGTGCGATCTCTAAGATCATTGTAAGCAGACAGTTCTTTAGGAGATAAATTACATTTTCTGTTACGAGCGACTGAAATGCTAGAGAACAACTTGTGGCGAAACTCTAACAAGTTGCTTTCAGTGCCGGGTAAAGCAAGAGGAGGATCTTTGGAAGATTTAAGATGAAATTTAGGGATATAAACAGAATTGTTCACTGTAGGAGCAGATCTGGCAAAACAATCCTTCCATCTAACTTGCTTTTGTAATTTATCAAAATCAGTAATCGTGCAGAAGTAGGAATACGTAGTAACGCGAAACCGATCACCATATCCTAGAACTTGTTTTTGAATTGGGGAGAAGGAAAAGTTTGAAAACTTATGAACACCGGAGTTAATCACAAATTTACAATGATCTCGAATTCTGAGATTCCAAATGACTGTATTGGGCCCTCAGATCCTCCAGCGTCTTTTGCCCTTTCGGTGGGTAGCAACTTTTCTGCTGCCAGACTTACAAGTTTTTTTGAATGGTTTTTAGGTTTTGTGGATGTTTTTGGCTTTTGAATCTTTTTCAAAGAAGGAGCTTTAAGCGCTGCTGCAACTTCCTTTTTAATCAAGGAGCCTATTTCCTCCGCCAGTGGCGGAAGAGAAGAAACACATCTGTGTGCATGTCTACGTCTTTCTGTTCTTTTTGTTTTAAGGATTCAGAGCGCTTGGATCTGAGGGCCTTTGCAAAACCAGCAGATTTCTTTTTGGCAGAAAGAAAATCGAAACGAGACAATAGAAGGCTAGCAAATTCGGCAGTGAGTTTATCTGAAGAGCATTGTGAGACAAAATCGTAGAAATCGGTCCTAGCTTCTTTAACAGTAGACTCGGCCTTCTGAGTTTTACAGGAGCTTGAGGCAATCAGTGAATTAAATTTACATACTCTGTGGCCTCAATGAGTTGAGCTGCATTAGTAAGTTTGGCGACCTTCTTTAAAATGTAAGCATCAAAAGTGTTGGCGTCTAATTGAGCCTGCAACAAGTTGACTTTCTTAGAGTGTTCGGCCAAGATTTTCTCGCTAGTGTGTATACGATTCAGACACCGGTGTACATACCCTTCCAGCTCTTGATCAGGAAGAGGACTTGCGCCAGCCAGAATGTTGCTGACAAAATTTAATGGTAGAGGAGAAACATTGTTATCTTCTCAACGGCGTTTTGCTGCAGTAGCGGTAGCAACAGGCGGTGTAGAGGTAGACGCAGGTGGGTGAAGACCGAGCACACGAACGCGAGAAATTGGAGTGAGTCCAGTGAGTCCTTGACGCTCCATGGCTCTCCGGGAACTTTCCAGCGTGGTCCTCAAAGTCAGCAAGACCAGTGTTGGGGGTAGTAAGTGGATGGCTGCACTGTCTGTGGGAAGTTGTGCAGAGCAACGTACGCCTTTTTTCAAAACCTCAACACGAGCTGGATGGGCAGCAATCGGCTGTCGGAATATGCGCGCCATCTTGCAGCTAGAATACCAGGTGCATTTTCAATTATTTGGAGGAATGCTTGCAAGTCGATAATTGAAAATGCGCTGGCACAGAGATAAATTCTTCCCCGGATATGGCCACATGAGGCATCCTTGCAGAGGGAATGCTTCATCTCCAACAAGGAAGCAAGGACACTTTCCAAGGCCAAGGACTGAGTTGTCTGCGTCTGGAATGCCTGCCGCTGCATCCTTCAAAGCTTGTCCGAAGCTGGAGTTAGCGAACACACCACCATCACTTTGCCGTCCACTAGCGCCATCATGGACCATTAGAAACCGGTACCGAGCATCGGCAACCGCCATCAAAACGATGGAATGATGGTTCTTGTAGTTGAAGAAAGGGCTTCCAGAATTATATGGGGCCTGCATGTTGACATGCTTCCCATCAATGGCTCCGACGCAATGCGGCATGTTCCACCGAATGTAAAACTCTTGAGCAACGGCTTTCCAACCAGAAGGTGTCTTCGGGCACTGCAGGTAGCCAAATAGCCTTGCACACCTCCGTGATGATCTTGTGCGCAGTGGAGTGACCAGGACGGAGTGAAATAGACACGTCCTGGGCGGACGCCCCGCTCGCTAGGTATTTCAGGGTGAGCACCAGATTGTCAGCATCTGTGATTGTTGCTCGTACTTTACTCCAGTATCTTCTTCTCTTCCGTAAATGTGGCCTCACATGATCCAGCTGCTTGTCGAAAACTGGGGGTGACACCCGGACGTATTTGAAGTGGATCTCTCCATCGTTCTGCCTCATATCCAAGTAATCGGACTGGGACTCACCTTTTTGTAGACAGTTTCTGGAAGACAGCCAGTACACAGGATGCCTCCTCAACTGTGAGCTCCTTGCCTTACTAATATGAAAAGTATAGATACAAACGACGACAAAGGTGACTCTCTCTGCTCTGCTTCTCTTCTCTTCCACACCAGCACCAACTAAGCTGCGAAAAATCATCAAAACAAACTTTCTTCTCCTGCCCTGGCCACTGCCATGGTCAGCCCAGGGCCCGTCGTGGAAACACAGGGAAGAAGAGCTGAGAAAAAGGCCCATTTACAATACTAACGTTACTTTTAGCGACGTGACATGCGGTCCACGGCGAGGTGCGACTGCAGCTTAAGATTCACAAAGTACTTTGGTTTTGTGACGTTGCAGGGCCCATCATGCAAACTTTCGAGCAATGCAAACTTTACTTTGGTAAAGTACATATACTTTGGTACATGAAAGTTTGCATTATGGGCCCTGCAATGTCACAGAAGTTGTCACAAAACCAAAGTATTTTGTGAATTGTGTTCTGGCGTCGCACCTCGTCGCAGGTCGCGTCGCAAAAATTGGTATTGTAAACAGGCCTTTGCTCATTTCTTCTTTCCTGTGTTTCCATGGTGTTACCTGTGTTTCCATGGTGTTACCTGTGTTTCCATGGTGTTACCTGTATTTCCATGGTGTTACCTGTGTTTCCATGGTGTTACCTGTGTTTCCATGGTGTTACCTGTGTTTCCATGGTGTTACTCGGTACAACACTGTATAGTTTACAACTGTCTTGCATGGCGGTACCGCCGTCTTGTGTGAGTGTTGATCTTGTCTTTGCAGTCATCCTTGAGTCCCTGGCTGTGCTTTTCAATCTTGCTTGCTTGCTGTGTGTGTTTGTGTGTGTGTGTGTGTGCGCGTGCGCTTGCTTGCTGTGTGTGTGCACTAGGTTCATCATTGCACGTTCAGCTGAGGACAACGCACCATTGGGTTTGGTAAACTTCCGATTCGACATCGACGAGCAAGTTGAGGTGCTATATGTGTAAGTCGTTCCACCTGTAATAGGCCATTCACACGACGTGTAAATACTTGCACATGTGTGACCAAGATAACACTGGCAAACCGTGATCCAGTTCACACGGTGCTGGGCAAACTTTGCAACCGTCAATGTATCCATAGTGACCTCCTGAAAATGCCGGGAAATGTTCAATTTGGAATTTTCCCTTGTTCAAGCACTGCATTTGCAGTACGCACTGTCAACAACCGACACTTTTCCTGGCGTGCAAAGATAATCGCGAGCAAAAGGGCCTCGGCCAAGATAAAAAATCAGTTGCACGCGTGTGGCCAAGTTTATCGTATCCGAGTAAATATCCTTGGAAACGGTACGATAAACTAAGTTTGCCCGTCGTGTGAATGGCCTATAAGCATGGCTTGCATGGCTTTGAAGCATGGCTTGCATGGCTTGCATAGCTTTGAAGCATGGCTTGCATGGCTTGCATAGCTTTGAAGCATGGCTTGCATGGCTTGCATAGCTTTGAAGCATGGCTTGCATGGCTTGCATAGCTTTGAAGCATGGCTTGCATAGCTTTGAAGCATGGCTTGCATAGCTTTGAAGCATGGCTTGCATAGCTTTGAAGCATGGCTTGCATAGCTTTGAAGCATGGCTTGCATAGCTTTGAAGCATGGCTTGCATAGCTTTGAAGCATGGCTTGCATAGCTTTGAAGCATAGCTTGCATAGCTTTGAAGCATGGCTTGCATAGCTTTGAAGCATAGCTTGCATAGCTTTGAAGCATAGCTTGCATAGCTTGCATAGCTTTGAAGCATAGCTTGCATAGCTTTGAAGCATGGCTTGCATAGCTTTGAAGCATGGCTTGCATAGCTTTGAAGCATGGCTTGCATAGCTTTGAAGCATGGCTTGCATAGCTTTGAAGCATGAAGCAGTTGAAGAGTGTGTGTATGTACAGGCATGCCTTTGTCTTGGTGCATCGCTTGCACATACAGTTGCGCAGGGGCGTCAGACTCGACTACGGTATTGACCGTGCCACTCTCTTCGCCCCAGGTACCCCGGTACTCCTTATAAAACACTGATCTGGGCTCTAAATTAAGTAAATTTCCAGAATTTTCGGCTCAGCCACCACTCCCCACGAGTAAATTGTGCTTGGGGTGGCTGACCGTACTACACTACAATATGTTTTGACGCCCCTGTTGTGGCTTTAGAAGTGTGAATTAGTTCCACCTCCTCTTTCATTGATGAGCAGGCCGCAAGCTGATGCTTATGCTTGCATTTAGATTTTAGAAGTGTGGTTTGAACATTTGCTGATGTGGCATAAGGCCACACGTTTTTATTTCTATGTTTCTCGTCACCTGAAAACCTAAAAACGTATGCGAGAGGTTGAAAAAAATAAAAAAAAGTTTATTAGACCGTTGTTCACACTAAAATCTACGAATGCACCATGCAAAATAGCATCCATAGTTAGCAACTAGTATGTGTAAGGAGCTTCTGTTACAATCTGTGCATGTGCAGCTAGATTGTGCACAAACAATGCCGACCTCGCATCATGTGTCGCGCAGGCCAGGCCACATTATGTACATGTGCTTGAGTTTGCTGGTCCCCACATGCAGTCAATGCAGCACAGTTTTTTTTCTTTTTTTCCTCCAGACTCCTGAATCGTACGCGCGCGGGTGACGAGAAACATAGAAATAAAAACGTGTGGCCTAACACGTGTTATGCTCAGTTCGTTCAGCGTGTGTGTGTGCCCTCTCCTGATATATGACCTGCAAGCGTTTGATACTAAGAACAGTGTTGTGTTTGTGTGTTTGTATGCGTGTGTGTGTGGTGTGTGTGTCTGTGTGTGTGTGTGTGTGTGCGCGTGCATGCGTGTGTGTGTGGTGTGTGTGTGTGTGTGTGTGTGTGTGTCTGTCTGACTTTACGTATGTGCTGTCCGCTAGGTACGAGATCCAGTTGGAAAGGAGTGTTCGGCGGAAGGGGCTTGGCCGCTTCATGATGCAGCTAACTCAGCTCATTGCTGCAAAGTAAGTTTTTATCCCTTGTCACTGGCTTTGTGTGTGTGTGTGTGTGTGTGTGTGTGTGTGTGTGTGTGTGTGTGTGTGTGTGTGTGTGTGTGTGTGTGTGTGTGCACTTGTGTATGGATGTTACAGTCCATTTCAAAAATATAGAAGCACAGTATTTTTGAAGGGGTTAGGGTTAGGGTTACGGTAGCTCAGCATGTACAGTATGTAGCTGCTGCAGAACACGGTATCCCCTGCTCCAGAACAAGCACACACAGGTCTGAAGGACATCTACAGATAGGAGGAATGTTTGCCTACCAGTAGTCATACGACAATACAGTGTCACCTGGCAGAGGTGACCACTCATCTCCCTACCACTGCCACAGCCACTGCCACTGCCTCATGAGTTCAGTAAGTACCCACGGTGCATATCCAAGGCCAGATTCACCCTGCTATCCGATAGCAGTATTTGACAAACCCGTTCTCAAATATTTGATGAACAAGGCTACCGGTGATCTGCAAAATGGGGATCACGTTATTTTTTGCAGCGTGCATGGCTGGACAATGCGCAAGCCTATCCCGATGGCATGGTAAAGCAAAGAGCCTACATAGGTTGTTGTTACCAGGTGAAGCACGGCTGGCTACTAGTAGTCGGTGTGAGCATCGGGTATTCACTGTTGGCACGCCTGAGAGGCTCCAGCAGCAGCTCTGAGACCTGCATGTAGCATTGTAGTAAGTTGTCTTGTTTGAAATCTTTTATTCTCACGATGCCCTGTGGGCAATAAGAGAAGAAGAAACACGAGTACGGGGATATATGTGACAGTCGTTCTTGTTCTCGTTGTTTGTGTGTGTGTGCGTGCGCATGTGCGTATGTGTGTGTGCGCATGCGCGGGTGTGTATATGGGTGGGTGTGTGTGTTTGGCCTATCTCCAGGGCATCAATGGCCAAAGTTGTAGCCACCGTCTTCAAAGGTAATACATTTGAGTGGGACATTTGGAAACAATGCCTGTGGTCCACCTTTCTTCGTCCCCCCCCCCCTCTCTCTCTCTCTCTCTCTCTCTCTCTCTCTCTCTCTCTCTCGCTCTCTCCCGCTCTCTCTCTCTCTCTCTCTCTCTCTCTCTCTCTCTCTCTCTCTCTCTCTCTCTCTCTCTCTCTCTCTCTCTCTCTTCCTCACACACTTGCACACATGCACACACAGACATGCGCGCTTGGAGTAGCTATTTTGTAGGGCTGAAACGATCATTCAATAACTCCTAACGATCAGCCAATATCATTAACGATCGATTTATTGGTTTTATCGATTCTTGTTGGCTCTACCCGTGTACCTCGAACCCCAGTTTAGGAAGAAATTCCATGATACCTCTGCAATGTTAGAGATTTGTGGCACCGCACTGTTGACAACTGAATCTTGTCATCATCCTGTGGCAACTGCTCTTATCTCCGCCCTCTCCCAGAAATGCACCAAAAAGCCAAAGCCCTCTCTCCCAATCTCTTTCAAAGCCACAAATCAATTGTATTGTGCTTGAAAGTACATGATTGTACAGTCGTCCCTCTTTAATCCGGCACTTTATAAACCAGCACCCTCTATACACCAGCATAATTTTCATTAGCAAAAATGTCCTCTTCATGCACATAGCAACAGTAGATCAAATCTGTTAATCCAGCACCCTCTCTAATCCAGCAGAATTCTCTAGCACGAATGGTGCCGGATTATAGAGGGACCACTGTACTCGTATTCACTACCGGATGGAGTGCAAGGGCTAGAATGCTGTCACTGATATGCATGCATAAAAAAATCGTTAGCACTCGTTTTGAACACTGACGATTATCGATTGCACTCTTAACGATCGATATGCGAGTTATCGGTATAATTGTTTCAGCCCTACTATTTTGTCTAGGGTGTTTCACGATACCCAGTTTAGTAGAAGAGGATGAGTAATCGTTGTCACTCAGAGTTGACTGAGAGTTTCTCACGCGCTAGCTGATCATCAGACAGTAGAGAGGTTAAGATGTACGTTATTTCCGACGTGACGCGAAAGTTTAGCTAGTGCTATTTGGCTCTCGCGTCGGAAAACAACGCGAGTGACCTGCAGGTCACGTCGAAATTTGGAGTTTTACGCCAACTTTGACGTGAACTTGCGAGTCACGTCGGAAATAACGTGCATCTTAACCTCTCTAATCTGTAGTTTACCTGTAGATGGGCATTTTGGCATTGTGCTTTGTGTGTGCACGCGTGTGTGTGTGTGTGTGTGTGTGTGTGTGTGTGTGTGTGTGTGTGTGTGTGTGTGTGTGTGTGTATAATTAATATTAATTATGTGTTTAACTGGTTTGAGGGAAAGAGAAAACGGGAAAAGTCTGAAGAAAAAATTGACTGTCACCACCAGGACTCGAACCAGGGACCCTCGCTTGTAGCCAGCGATGCTCTAACCACTGAGCTATGGTGTAGTCGTCATCCCAGCAGAGGCCGTTCAACATTTTCTTCAGACTTCGTAACTCACACTTCCTATGAATCCACACAGGCGGGTGGGACGCAGCCCTCACTGTAACCCACACACTTCACGTACAAACTAGCACGCGGGGAGCCCCAAGTCATAAAAATATTAACTGGTTTGAGGGAAAGAGACAAACGGGAAAAGTCTGAAGAAAAAATTGACTGTCACCACCAGGACTCGAACCAGGGACCCTCGCTTAATTATGTGTTTACGTGTATATATGTATATGTGCATGCAGAGAACATGGCATCAATGAAGTTCTTCCTACAAGTACTCAAGTAAGGCTAGGTCTAAATCATGAGATCCGCGGCAGGGGCTGTCTGAGGCCCGTAAACTGCCTGTTAGTTCTAATCCATGACATCCGGGGGCTGTCTGAGGCTGGCTGTTGCTTGCAGGGATGTAGCCGGCAAACTGTCGGTTGGTTTGCACAGCCATTGGTGGGTTTTCGACACAAAGTACAAGACTTGAGCCCAAGACCAGTTCTGATTGTATCACTGTAGTTGTGCTGTGTAGTACGTACGGCATTCGTACCACTTCCAGGGCGTCAACGGCTGGGCAAGTCCGGGACGCCACTTTGTTTTGGAATTTCATGCAGCACCACTGTACGAGAGTAGTGACATCGATACCTTGATAAATCACTGTCTTTTACTGTGGACTTTGTAATGAGTTGGATGTGAGTCCTGGTTACCGCCTATGATTGTTTATAGTAAAAGTGTAGCAGTTTGTGGAAATCACTTTCTGAAACATCAAGGTATGTGTGCGCGTGTGTTTTGCAATGGGTAAGCTTGACCGTGGTCCGGGACAAAGTGGTGTTCTTTTTGTCTATTTCTGTGTGCGTTTGCACGTGTCTATGCATGGGCATCAAGAGTACATAACCCCCCCAGAGTGTGCAACTCCACTATGGGTGCTGTCCCGACAGAATTTCAAGTTGACGTCATTTTGATGATGCAATGCGCACTGTACACGGATTACCAGACGAATCCGGAACCTGTGGTTGACCGAAGCAGATCGATCCTGTACAAATTATTGGAAAGAAAAACGTGTGATGCGTTGACACCCGTACACATGTTGTAAATCACTGGTGCAAGGAGCATTGCGTCATAAATAATGACGTCAACTTGAAATTCTGTCGGGACAGCAGGGTATGTGGGAGTTGCACACTCTGGGGGGTTATGTACTCTTGATGGGCATGCATGGATGTGCGTGCGTGCGTGTTGTGCGATGTGTAAGCTTGACCGTGGTCCGGGACGAAGTGTTCTTTTGTCTATTTCCGTGTCCGGATGTGCATTCGCACACGTCTATGCCTGGACATGCACATGCGTGTGTGTGCGTGTGCATGTGTGTGTGCATGTGTGTGTGTGTGCATGTGTGTTCACATGCACTTGTTCTTCGTTTCCCTCAGGTTTGATTACGACGACACATCGCCGTGCGTGTGTGACCCTGGCAACGGTGAGGACTACGCACACGAGATTGTCAGCAAACGACTGCGTCCCGTGCAGGCCGCTGTTGCTGTGGTGCCGGCCGCTAGCGCTGCTGCCGTGGCCTAGTCGGCACGGTAACCACCACTCTGCCGGCCGCTGGTCTCCATGGTGGAGTATGGATTTATGTCTCCTCTTGCCTGCCTTTGGTCTCCATGGTAACGGCTGAGCGTGGAGTTAACTCGGCTCTTGCCTGCATTCGATAGGGGTTGAGCGTGGATTTCTCTCTGCTCCCCTTTCCTGAGGTACGAGATGGTATCGTGAAGAGATGTGCCTAGTCACGATTGAAGTCACCTTGCCGATTTCATTGTCAATGAACTGTGTGGGATTCACCGCCGCCTTAGTGCAAGCTGCAGTATCAACGACAACCTACCGGTGGAGATCGCCAGGCTGGTGGTTTAGGCAGTCCATGGCGTCGTCGTCCCTGTCGATAACCCTCTCCTTGAGCCAATGTGTTTGTCATCGTGCATGTCGGCCAGCTCTGTATTGTCGTGTACCGCCGATACATGTACTCCGCGTCTCCGCTATATGAACGTGTTGCCAGTTTCAGCACAGGATTGGTTGGCTTCACCTGAGCTCACTGCCGTCGCCATTGTCGTCATGGCCGTTCCCCGGTAATTTGAGCGGGCGTGCCTCGCGTACCTTCCAGTTTGTTGCCGGTACGTCAACGTTACATTTTTGAACCCGTCGCTTCGTTCTCGGACTCGGTTTGTCGCAGCTCATTGCTTGAAGACAATCGATCACTGCCCACGCTTCACAAAATGTGTGGACATGTCCAACTTTTCGCTGCCAGTAGATACAGCCTACATGTAGACAGGTAGTTGTTTGAAATTGAACCGAGTACAACGGTACGGAATAGTGGTAATAGTAGTAGTGTGGGGAACAACCAACCTTTTTTTCTCCTTTTTTTAGTTTTTTTTTACCAGAGTATGATAGATTTCTCTTTTACCTGTCTAAAATGATTTGCCAAGCTTTTCAAGATTTTTACGTACCCGTTCCTTGCCCGTTCCCGTGGCCACCGCAACGCCCGACAGGACAAGCTAGTTGGCTGGAGAAATGTGACCTCAGGAATAGTGTGATCACACCTTATGTTTACGCCGCCTGTAAACGCACCTAGCCCCAAAACGGAAGACGTGTCGTGAAATAAAACCGGCATGAGCATGCGAGTAGTGAACATGTGGGAGAAAGAAATGCATTATCTATCCACACATGCAATGGAAATGATCTTGAATGTGGTACTGTGGTATGAATGTGACCGGGTTTAAAACATACAAAACAGCATATCCGAAATCCGAACAACGGAAGATTACAATCTTGACTCCTATCCCTTACCCGATATTAATATTGTAAGGCGAGATGATAAACGTGGTGGCTATTGAATGGGTTGGCTTTAATCCAGTTAAGCTATGTAGCTGCCCATTCAAAACGTAGACTTGTGCTTGTAGTGATTGTAATGGTGTCTTGGCCACACTCACTGAAATGGGTGGTCCAAGCAAGCAGGCCTGTGCTGCTGCACTTATTGAAAGTGTTATTGTACATCTGGGTCTTGACAAGAATTATCTGCTTATGACGCATGCAGCGCACATCGAACACTAGTTTAAGCAAGTGCACCAGTAAAGCCGCCATGCATGCATACTCTGACAAGGTGACATCTATATACAGGCTACGCCGCTCCGGGTAGAGTTCACTATGACATCATCTCAGTCATATCGTTTATGGTGACATCATCTCACCCATCTGTGGCATCTCAGGGTCTCCGCAATGTTTCCTGGAGAAGTGGCCACACATGCCACATGGATCAGATTGTGCTTCACTTCCCCTGGATCACATTTAACCGAAACAGGCACAACCACGCTTGCATGAGCGCACTGTGATGGAATTGAGCTGCTCAGACGCATCTCAGAAGCGATATCCGTAGTACTGCTCTCTCAGCCGGCTGTCTGCGGCGCGGCGCTGTTCCACCAGCCGGCGCTTGGCAGAGCCGCACAGGAACTGCGCCAGGTGCGCGGCGCGCTTGCGGTGCAGCATCTTGACCACCTCGTCGTCGTAGCGATGACGCTCTGCCCCGTCGCCATGGGAGCGATGACGTCGCCGCAGCTCATCCTCCAGGTCCTCGCTCTCGGCCATGTAGATGCTGAGCTCTTCCTGCTGGTCGTCGTGCTTTGCACCGCGCTCCAGTAGCCGACGTGTGGCCAGCCTAGGCCAGGGTTAGAACACACAGGCGACGACGCGTTGCACATTAGCATGGGCACACACAGACACAAAACACACACATGCACACATACATGTAAAGTTACATACTTACACACAGAATTTAGACACATACAGACAGACGTGTACAATACTCAGCAAAAACCTATAAGGAGTTTGAGCGTCTCCTGAAAAGCCCCCACTCCGTAAGGTGTGCACAGTGAGCAGTGGAGCTTAGAAACAATTTGAACGACAAGCCGACCAATTGCAATGGAGTTGTCATTCAAATAGCTGGGCCGTCGAAAGCCAACAAAGCAGGGCGCGCAATTAAGCCACCACTAAGCAGCTGCTCGTGGAAAGAGTTGTCTTGGCTCTATATACTTACAGGTTGGCACGTGCGTCTTCGCAATGTCCGTCTGTGGCCTGCTGTGCAGCGTGCTGGATGGCCGCCAGTCCAGTCACTGCAATGTGACATGCCTGCGTGTGTCACAGCCAGGTGCATGAAACACACACACACACACACACACAGGAAGGAAAATACAGACGCAAGTTTAGAATAGTGTATGTACAGGCTCCTGTGAACACAGTAGATGCAGAATTTACCACGTGCGCACTCTGCAATGGCTACAGGAGACTACAGTGGATGGGAAAACACGAGAAGAGACAGATAGACTGACAGACTGACAGACTGACTGACAGAGAGAGAGAGACAGACAGACAGAGAGAGAGAGACAGACAGACAGACAGACAGACAGAGACAGACAGATTGCATATCATGACTGACCTCTTCCACGGCATCTCTGTTCCTGGACACCGGCCGGTATGCACTGATAACACGTAGGTATTGAGTACCATCCGGTCTGGTGTACTTCAACTGAACCTGTATACACACACACGCACACACACACACGCACACACACACACACACACAGCACAAACCAGCACAGCATACCGGTTATAAATTCGTAAATGCTACCTAAACTGTTTTCGTTGTTGAAGAAGGCTGCTAAAACATTTTGTAGAACTTGACCTGAGTGTCCTGGTTACTCTACTGCACTGTGCTAAGTAATAATACGTACTACTTGTAGTATCGCAAGCACATGGCACATCACTACAAGGCATCCGTCAATGCATCTGCTGACCGGCATACAGTGTAGACCTGAGACTGTATCACGCAAAGGTAGCTTCTATAACTGCAGACAACAAAGAACGCATCCAATTGCTACAACATGGCCACAGTGCGTACGGCATCCACCTCGCTGTTTTTGATTAGAGGCACCAGCCTGTACGCAAGTATGCCAGCTCCTACCTGAAAGGGAAGCTTGTTGGCGCTCAGTCCGTGTTCCCGGGGTCGCACGTGGAACGGGTAGGTGAGATCGGTCTGTTGCGTTACGTTGCCAAGCGGTACAATGATACGGCTCAGACCCTGCATAGCACAAACACACACAGATAGACACAGCATGCATGGTCAAAATTAACACAAGCAAATTAACACAAGCAAATTAACACAAGCCGATGAAGGAACTTTTTAAAAGTGCTCGTAATTTAATTGTAACTTGCAATGCATTCAGAATCGCAACGCTAGAGCGGTCAATGAATTTTTGCACTCAGCAACAATCCAATAACAGGCACCGGCGTTTTCAAAACATCTACCATTCACAGGAGCTCATTCAGTATCACTACAGCTACAGTATACGTAGTGGCAGTGTGGCACAGTTGTTTGCAGCTGTATCCAATGCCCGGGTGGGCCACAGAACTGCTTCCTGCTTCAATACGTATCTTGTGAACACTGATGGAGACCAGCGCTCTGCGATGCTGTTTTATACGTATCATCACACGTCACCCTCACACCGAGACAATACTGATGAGGCGGCAGCTTCCACATGCACTACAATAGAGCCGTAACACCAGCTGGCCTGCGGAACTTAGCGAGAAAGCAATGCGAGATAGCGCTGAAGATAGCCCAAGCGGCATGTCTGACAACGCAAGCACTTCTGTGACTAGCTTAAGCACTGCTGGGACTAAGCATTGCAACACTACTACACTAAGCAGTGCAATGCATTCCAGTGCTGACACCCAAGTGTGATTTCCAACTCCCGCCAAACTAGCGCTAAGGGCTGACGGTTACACGTCTTCGGCAATGGCAGTCGGCGTCAAATTCACTGCGGCAGAAAAGCGTGACTTCCTATGGTCAGCCACAGTTGAGGCAAGAAGGACCTCTCACGATTACACCTGAAACATGGCAGGTGGCTGACACCGAAATTTTAATACACCTAATATTGCATGCTATACAGTATTCACTGTCCAATTAGAAAGACTACACTACAGTAGTAAGACGATGCCACATAGCGGTTCAGCACAAGGTACCAGGATCAGAATTCCCATAGACTAAACAGTAGAATCCTTGCCGAGTTCTAGTGTTAAGCAGCATTGCAGCAGTTCTCACCTGCGAGGAGACGGTCTTCTCTAGCTGGAGGGACGGGTGCAGCAGGACACTGAGCTCCACGTCAGTGGCCACCGTGCGGTTCTGAGAAATGAGCCGCAGCTGGCGGGTCAGCTCCAGCGGGTTCAGCTTGTTGACGTCTCCGCCGCTGAGCTCTGCACACTTAGCCACCTGACTCATGTTGCAGTCCTCGCCCTCAATGCCCAAGATGGACACCACCGACTTGGTCTCCCGACACTTCTCACCAATCTGCAAGGACAATAGCGGGCAAAAGAACAAAAAAATATCACGGTCCGCGTCAGACTCGGCCAGAGGTCGAGTTTTCCGCATCCGTAGGAACATCGGGCAAAGGACAACAAGAACAAATGGATGGGACTTATCGACTCAGTATTGAATCAATACTAACAGTGAGACCAGCAGTAATACACAACCAGACAGTTGCCCTGACTTGCGCTGGCAGATGCAATCCATCTTGATTTCCGCCCCAGGCCCATCTTCAGCAACACTCTGAGCAAAACCCTCTTACCTGTACATAGAACTCAGGTCCCCCCTCGCCGCTGCTGTTCAGGGCGCCGAGAGCCACGTTGGGTCGTCCGTCCGTGCACAGGACAATCTCGGCCGCTGCCGTGCTGGTTGCCATGCCAGCGGCGACGGTCAGGGCGGGTCCGAGCGCCGTTGCGCCGCCCTCCTCCAGTGCGTCCACTACCGACGAGAGTTTCCTGTGGAGAAGAGAGTATACAGACACACACACACACACACACGCACATGATGGCATGTGAGTGTCTTGGTCACGGGCTAACACACTTAGATGATGCTCAGCAGTGAAGCACTAGCTTGGTGTGTCTACGGGCATGAAGGCAGGGCTCACTGTTACACGTCCTCTACACACTCAAATTTCGGTCTTTGCAGATCGGTATGAGAACGTATCAAGTTATCCGTGTGGAGAAGTACTACAGTCAAATCTGTCGTAAGCGACCGCCCCTTGGTGCAAGAAAAAGCGGTCGCTTCCGGCAGATGGTCTCTTACGGCAGATGTATGATAAATCCGGCATACCAGGTATATGCTTCCATGTACTCAAATCAACGAGAATAATGTGATTTTTAATATCATTTTATTGGATATTCAACGACGACCATACCCGTATAGCACGCGTATGCGACACGGCAGTAGATCGACACTGCCTGGACTTGAGAGCTACAGCACAGCCTCAGTACAGGCCAGGCGCCAGTCGATCGCACTTGCAAGACAGCGCATTTTCACACTTTGCAGTTGACAGCACACTGGCAAGTACAGTTTCGCACCTTACTGAACCTGGGTCGCGGTCGCTTACAGCAGATTTGAATGCAGCCACCGTGCATGAAATCGCGGTCGCTGGTCGCGCACAGCAGATGGTCGCTCTGGACAGATCAGTTTGTATGTGAAACCGTCGGTGCACGGAAAATCGGTCGCTAACGGTAGATGGTCGCCTACAGCAGAGGTCGCTAACGGCAGATTTGACTGTAGTAGCCAAGTTGTGTACTGCAACAATCTAGAGAAAACCTAGCTTTTCCTACTCACTTTATGGAATTCTCAATAGTGTCCACCTTCAGATCGGCCGCAATGTTCTTTCCCTCGCTCAACAGTCGCTCAAAGTCGTACAGCTTGTCGCCGGCGAGGACGATGGCGTCGGAGGATCCATCACCGTACACGGTCACCTTGCTGCTGAACGTCACCAGCACTACGCGTGTTTTGGGTTTCTCCACCTGCAGATGCTCCAGTTGTCTGTGCTCCAACAAAAAAACATACACACGTGTACACACACACGCACGTGCACACACACACACATAGACACACACACACACAACAAAAGCGGTACACACGTTTGGTTTAGCGGAAAAGTACACGGCCCTGGTGTCCCGGATATGTAATGTATGACCTGCTTACTAGGATACAGGCAACACACTGATGCACCCATCCCCTGGCTCACTCACAACCCAATGCACCTTCACAGTATACCAGCACCCCCGCCCCTACACTCACACACACAGAAATCGTACAGGGTTCTGTCTTTTCACACCGGACTACCTACCGCTTCACGGCAATCTTCATGCAGCTTAGACGGGAGATGTTCTGCTTGGAGCGCGACGAGTCACCACTGCGAATGGCACTCCAGTCAGCTGTACAAGGCAGGCACACGCGGAGAAGTACAAGAACTACCATAGATGAAAAACACTTCACACGAACAGACAATGTCGCAATGCAATGTAGCACCCTTTGGCACGTTTGTACAAGTACGGGACGAGCAGGAGTCGAATGCTGATTAGTTACTGGTAAGAGTTCTGTATAAAATGAAGGGCTACAGAGAAATTTAAATGGCCAAATACAGATAGTGCTGTTGGTATTCTTCTCTGTAAACGCACCAGTTTTGTTCCATTGCGGACTACGGAAGGTCATTGGCATACTGTATTCACTAATGTGGGAATACATGCGGCACAACACTTTTAAAAAGAGTACGGTCCGTGTCTTTCGCAGTGTGTGCACTGGAACTAGGACGCCAGGAGAATAACGATTACGAGACTGGCTGCTGTGAAGCTTGGCATTGCCATGGAATCCCGAGTCCACAACAATGAGGTTTTTTCTGCACCGGGCATACCTTGCAGTTGCTTGACCTCCGTTGTGACGCACATCGATCCGCTCACATCCATGCAGTACACCACCAGCCCGTCCCTGTTCGACGGCTTGGTGGCCGCGGCGGCAGCGGGAGAGTGCAGCATGTAGTCACAGGACGGTGTGGTGGGTACCTGCAATAACGACAACGACAAGGAAATAACGACAACCACCGCAAACAAGAGCAGCAACAGCCACAATAATAACAGCGTGCTGGACACCGAACATAGACTATTATTCTGTTACTTTAGCTTTAGCGCTATTTACTAGCTGAATTCTTATCGCGCTGCTTCTCACACCCAGCTCTTACTGACAGGGTAGTTGGCCTTTATCAATGCTGGTTTGAGAGCTTGCACATCATTGTGAACCTGATGAAGGCAATTTGCCGAAACGTTGTAATATTGTGAAATGAGTTGAAGTATTGCTGTGTTAATGAAAGAGAGCGTGTGGGCTCTACTCTTACCTGTTCAGTAACACTTCGCTAACACTTTTGATTGCAATAACTAATCTCTTGTCTCCATGTCGCTTTTCAATAAAAGAGTTAAATTCACCAGCACACTTCCAGATATGCTACTAGATTAACACCCGTCATTCACACAGCTTCAAAAGATGCTTAGACAAGTAACTCACCTCTTCTGGAGCGACGTCCACCTTGTTTTGTACATTACAGAACTCACTGTGAATAATCAACATAGCACACATACACAGCCACACCGGTTTTTTTTTTTTTTAAACACATGGGACGTCATCTGGATCAGGTGTGTATGTGAGTCGCTGACACAACTAATTCATGTTTGGGCTGGTAGCAGAAAACTATGTGTCCAGTTTTGGGAGGGGAAATCCCACTCCCATGGTATCAGTCAGCATGCTGCAATACATACACGGTACAATCAGTCATAATGCAGGGCATCGCTTTCTGCTGCTGGTTCGCAATACAAAGACAGGTGTATGCCTGGGGGGGCCGGGTGCATATGGGTGGCTTCGGACCCCGCGCAGTATGGAGGGGCTCTGGACTCCTGGCAAAAAATAAGTGTCTCAATGACCTTCGTATACAACAGGAACAAGACAGGAACTCTTCTTCAAGCATAATGCCTGTGCAATTGGTGAAGTAAAATGAAAGTCAACAACAACAACATATACCTGGCTTACCATGTCCAGACCGACGCCGACGTGTCGCGGCCGTCCACCGTCTTCACTGCGGACATTGCCGAGAGGACGGCATAGCAACCGCTGCAGCGCACCGCATCGCCCGTTGCCATGCCGGGCTCGTCGGCAAGGCGACCCAGCTCCACCAGCAAGACGTTGGCAGTGGCGCGGCGACACCGCACTGTCTCTTCTCGACTACGACCACCACCACCAGCACCACGAGATGCGCTGGAGCGACGCCGGAAGCAGCTCTGCAGAAAGCCGCTCTTCTTCGCTAGAAGCAAGACAAGACACGAAAAGACAAGCACACAATGCTTCTTTGTCATTGGATCTATTCTATCCAGTTTGCTTGGTTCGCAAATTCAAACAAACACAACCAACCACAAGCATGCACACACTGTACTGCCTTGTACTGTGAAAGACCCGGGGGGGGGGGGGGGGGGAGGGAGGGGGGGTAGCAATCAGGATGTCGCCCAACTGGTCAATAGCCAGGTGAGGAACGCTGCGCAGTGTTCTCACTATGTAGAATCTTGTAGTAGATGTTTGAGTGGCGAGAGATAAGAATATGCAAGGCACTGAATCAGGCCACCTTAATCTCAGTGCCCGGACCACTTCTCAATGAGAGAGAGAGATCTGCGAAACATCTCATCTCTAC